TTGGGGATGAATGTGACAACTGCCGTTTTCCATTCAGTTGGCAGTAGTTGGCCATCCCAGATCGCGTTAATGTACTGCAATAGATGCCGATAAGAATCGTCTGACAGATTTGCTAACAGTTTTACCGTGATCAGGTCTCGGCCTGGGGCAGTGCTCCTGCGCATTTTTTTCAGTGCTGCTTTCAGATTGCACATTTTCAAAAGGGGCGTCGAGCTGACTGTTTTCCTATACCTGCGATTTCATATGAGTTCCTGTTGGGATCCGTGATGCGACATAGGTATCTAGCACACAAGCATCAGCCAGCTGGGAGTTGGTTCCCTGAAAACTGTGCAGGGCTCGACGGAGCTGCTTTTGCGCTTCTCCTCTGGTTTGGGCGGGGTCTACGAGAGTTCAAAAAAGGCGCCAGCTTTCCTTGTATTCATTTTCTTTAGCTACAACATGCACCGTTCTATCCAATTGGATTCGTTCAGTTGTGCAGCATATTCCTCCGCTTGCTTACTCAACTCGGCTATCTAAGTTTAAGCTTGCGGTTGAGTTTGTTATTCCACCATCGTTTAGTTAAGCTTCTGCGGGCGTCCCAAAGGTGGAGCAGGTACTTATCGACGGCGGGGGTGTCTTCCGTTGTGTTTATAGTTTTAAGACACTTGGAATTGGCTGCAAACAACTGTTTTGCCCATCCCGTATATCCTCCCGCCCCTGGCACAGAGGGGATCACCTGTGAACGGAAGGCTGTCCAATCTGTCAGCTTAGCTCGGCTCCATGTTCTACGGCCTATGTTGGCGGAGAGTGTGATTCTGAGGAGGCAGTGATCACTTCCGAGCGTTTCTTCTAAGTTTTCCCATGTTGCGTAGGAAATGTTCTTAGTCAGTGATAGATACGGGCAAGTATCTCTGTTTACAGAATTCCCAATTCTAGTGGGTTTCATCGGATCTGTGAGAAGCGATAGACGAAGAGTGGATATGAGTTCTGCCAATTTCCGTCCCTTGGGGACTTCGCGGGTGTAACCCCAGTGATAGCTGGGGGCGTTAAAGTCACCCAAAATCACCAGTGGGTACTTATCTGCTTCCTTAATCGCTTTATAAAACATTTCGTTGAAGACACATTGCCTAGATTTTGGAGAACTGTATACATTTAGAATGTACAAGCTAGGATCTCGTCTTTTATTGGGAAGGACTTTGACCATTGTGTACTCATGCGCCTCTGACAGATCAAGGTCTATCTGACAAGCGGTATACTCCTTGGTAAGAGAACACAAGGTGGACGCACTTCCCTGAAATGAGTTGTAACCAGGCAATTTCGCCTGTAAGCCGGTTTCTTGTAGCGCCAAAACTGCAGGGGTACAATGTTTATACTGCAGGAAAAGGTTAAAAGTGGCCCTCTTTTTTCTATCTGTAAACCCCCTGCAGTTCCACTGGAAAATATCGAGTTGCTGTTGTTTGGACTTTTTATTATTATGTTTAGAACTGCCTGCAATCATGGATTTATTATTGAGGAGGTGTCATTTTCGCTACTGCAGCCAGCACGGGAGCCTGGAGAGGCGTGGGGGACTCAGTTTTGTTCGTCAACGGCTGGGCTATGTTGCTCTCGGATTCAGAATTTGCCAGGCTACGATGAACAATATTGCGTCGGGGTTGTTCTGTTGTCTTAATGCTAGTTTTGAGTTGGTCCAATTGAGGTGTGAGCCAATTTTGAATGGTTTGTAGTACACTGGCTGTGAGAATTGGCAAAATGCTCTGCTTGAGGTCTTGCATAGCCGCTTGGACTGATAGGTTCAGCTGCTGCGGAATAATTTCTTGTACTGTAAGCTTGGTGTAAGGATCATTTTGCTCTGCTCCTCAAGTTTAGTCTCTAGTCTGCTTAGTCGACCTTCTATGTCGTTCGAAGCACCTGCTACAGTTTTAGACACACTAGTGTTACCCGATACGTCTGACTGAGTATCCTGCTCATCGTCCAAGCAGTCGGAGGAGTGCATAGCTACCGGTTCCGACATTGGTGGAGGAGTAGCCAGCGTGCGACGCCTTCAGCGCCCGATTTTCGCGTTCCAGAGTTTCAATGCGTTTTTTTCATGGCTTCCAATTGTTTTAAAATTTCAGAATTGGAGGGGGAGGCAGTGGTGATGGTGAGAGACTGAGAGGAGACCCCTACCCAATTGCTCACCTGTTTGGGCGGGTTTGCCAGTGACGGGAAATCCTCGGCGCCGAAGGTAGGCGGCCTCGACTTCTGTCCGGCTGGGGCTTTGATCGGCTTGGGCTTGTTATGCATGGGCTTCGCTTTTTCGTCAGTCCTGAGAGGGGCTGAGGGCTCTTCTTGCTTGTTTTTTAGTCCATGTTGCCGCTGTGTTAGAGCGGGCTTCCATGCCTTCCGGAACTTTCCGACGCACTGCGCTGAGCCGGTGAAATGGTTTTCACCGCATATAAGGCACTCGGGTTGACAGTCGTGCTTCGCTGGGCCCTCCAGAGTGAGTTCCACCTTCGCACCACAGTGAGTGAACCGCTGATTGTCCGGATTGGGGCACGCATCCGGTCTGCGGCCCCCCGTTCCACACCGGTAACATGCCGGAACCGTTTTCTTGTAGTTAGCGCACTGACACGTTTTCACAGCAGTAGTGAATGAATCTTCGAACGCGGCGTCCTTTGAAGGTCACCACTGCAACGTTGGATGTTCCGAGTTTCCGCACTTCTCTTGGAGGCGTTGGCAAAACCTGCCGAAACGTTCTCAGGGCTAGACAGCGCGCGCGCGCGGCAGTCACAAAAAACAAGAAGAGGCGTGAAGAAAAACAATAATAAAACAGAAAAATGATGTAAAATTATTTAAAATTATTGTGTTTTACATCTTTTAATATAATAGTAAATACCTATTCAACCATTCCTGAACCAGTAGTATTTTAAAGTAAAGTATTTATCAAAATAGCAACAAGAAAAGCTGTCCCGCAGTCGGTGCTGATCCCAAAAGTGGGAATGGCTGAGCATAGCCTCCTCTATAAAAAAATATAGGAGGCTATGGGCTGAGTGATGTTGTGTCCGGGAATTTTTTAAGTAAATATTGAGCTTGTGGTTATGCTCTTGCAGTCAAACAGAAGCACCGCGGTTTTATGGATGCATTTGACGGCAGAGAATACTGAAGAGGAATGATGTCCACGAAGAACGCTATCACGAAGGAACTGAGCGGTAGGTGTTCACTTGCAAACGCATCAGTGATTACCTGCCTGTCAGTTCCGAATTAGATATGCCTTTTTGCAATACATGCATATTTATCTTCGGTATTTATGACTGTACCACTTGTGCGTAGGGTCGAACAAACTGCGACTCTTCGCAACTTTTGCACAATTACGGGCGTTGTTTGCTAAGTCCCATTTTCAAAGCTATAGTGGTTCATGGCTCATCATGTCTTCGCCGTAGCGTAGTCATCCGGTGGTGCCTGCGGACCCATCGTTGCATCTTGCTTACGGATCCGAATAGTTAGATGTTTGCTTGTGGCTAGTGTTCGCTCGCGCCGCCCTAGTTACCCTCGCACAGGTGTTGGATATATATATATATATATATATATATAATATATATATATATATATATATATATATATATATATCGTTATCACAATGAAACATTTTCCGCGCCTGTGTGATATGCTAGCCGTCGCAGCATCGGTGTTTGTTGGTTCACGAAACTGAAATCGAATTGAAAATAATGCACAGAGGAAAAGCATCGTATCATAGTGAAAGCGTTCTATGTAGTCGTGCCGAGCTGTGATCATTAACATAGTGTAAGTGACGGCCTCATTTGGGTAGTTTTCACTGTTGTGCTGCTGATCACGCCTCCTGTTATCTCGACCTACCCGCGATAACTGGGCGCGTCGAAGTTTTGTTGCGCTCTTCAAGTGCATCACTTGATGGTACTTTTGATTTTGCCGATATTGATTGACTTCGTCGGAGATAGTGCTTTTTGACAGTTTATTTACGATTTTAAAGTACTTTTCCATGACTAAAGCCAGATATCTAGCTTTTAGAATTGGAATATAGCACGAAACTTTGAAGCATTCTAGTAATTCTTATTCATGCTCTTGTGTAGACACATATGCACTGCATTGTAAATACAACGAACCTTGAAACTGTAACCCATATTCCTTCCATTAACTCTTATGACTATATAGTATCAATACAAACTTGCTTTGATTTCTCTTATTTCTTGCATATCTTTGTGTGTGAAGTGGTGAAAAAAGACAGTGAAGTGCAATGAATTTCAGTGATGACACACCCTTAATGATTAACGAATGCACGAAAATAAGCCCCCCCCCCCCCCCCCCCCCCAAAAAAAAAGGGATTCTTGCACAGCTGCCAAAATGGGTCACTTATTGTAGACCTTTCCACTGTATCAAAGGCAGTTGCCTCTTGAACTATGGTCTTCTAGTGGGAGCCCACTGCAGCTGTGCTTTTCATTTATGTCAGTAAGTGCCTCCCACTGCTCCCAATAAGTACGCAGTGTATTCACTGCTGCCTGCTTTCAACCATTTCTTAAAGCACATAAAATATTGACAGTGAGTGCCACATGCTGTAGATTTTTTTGGTAATATCAAGAAATGTTTTCCACTGGTGCTCAAAGATTAACCTTGCTGCATAATCTAGCTTTCGTGCTACATATATGTAGAAAAATGCGTAGCTGCATGAGTTTTGCAATAATTCATCACAATTACAAAAATTCATTACATCAAACATAATTTTGGCTCACTGATATGTTAGGTACCCAACCATCATTTTTCTGCAAGTTTTCTATTGCACTGTTCCTGTAGCTGGGGAAGCCTTGTCATATTTTTTTTAGAGAAATTGAAGAGAATGGGCAGAAACTAATCACATTCTTGTATGCATTTTCACACTTATCATGGTTTAAAAACTTCACACATGGCATGCTGCATTTAAACCGAACAGCTAAATGTGTTTACGGTAGTGATGTGCTGCTGTAAATGTCACTGGCTCTTCATGAACATCTGTCAGAACCATGTACACAAGTTTCATTACTTGAAACAGAAAAATCTTTCAAAGTTGTTAAAACTTCCACTTTTTTCGGGAAATAGTCTGTGCTTGTATGAACTCACTTGCCATAAAATCACTCGTTGAATGAGTATCCCAATGTTCTGGTAGCTAAATGTAATAGAGACAAAAATCTTCACCGAAACATTAATCTCTTCCTTTAACTTAACGTTTTGTCTACATTTGCCTATTTCTTCATGGTATTTATAGTACATGTTTTTTGTATTTTTTACTTAAAGCATATATTTATACTTTAATAGGCTATTTGTGATATGGCAATTTTTGTATCTTGTTAAAACTTGTGTACATGTGACTTACCATGGTATAATTGTTTGCAGTCATTTCTTATGATTTGTATAAATGTAAGCTGACTGCACAGTGTAACAATTTCTTAAGTTTCTCATACCAGTGTGTGTGTTTAGGCCCTGTAAGATGTTTTGAACCATGTATACTTGCACACATACACACACATGTGTATATATATATATATATATATATATATATATATATATATATATATATATATATATATATATATATATATATATAATATATATATAATGAGATATAACAGACAGTAATGCCAGGAATGTACAGGGGAAGTTATAGCTCAGTGGTTAGAGCATCGAACGCGTAATTCGAAGGTTCGTCGATCTCGTTTACATCGAGGTGGTTATTTTTCATCATCCACTTTTCTTTCTTCTTCTATTACATTCCATTAATGTTAACTTCCCTGTACATTCCTTGGCATTACTGTCTGTTATATCTCATATTATTGTGTTAAAAACACGGAAAAACGAGCCCTTAGGTATACACTTCTTTCCCTTATAGATATATATAGATGAGATACAACAGACAGTAATGCCAAGGAATGTACAGGGGAAGTTATAGCTCAGTGGTTAGAGCATCGAACGCGTAATTCGAAGGTTCGTAGGTTCGATTCCTGCTTACAGTGGTAATTTTTTCATCCACTTTTCTTTCTTCTTATTTACATTCCATAATGTTATAAACTTCCCTGTACATCCTTGGCATTACTGTCTGTTATATCTCATTAATGTTGTGTTAAAACACACGGAAAAACGAGCCCTTAGGTATACACTTCTTTCCCTTATATATATATATATATGAGATACAACAGACAGTAATGCCAAGGAATGTACAGGGGAATTTATTAGAACCAATGGAATGTAAATAAGAAGAAAGAAAAGTGGATGAAAAAAAAAATAACCAGCCGTGAGCAGGAATCGAACCTACGACCTTCGAATAACGCGTTCGATGCTCGAACGCGTTATTCCCCTGTACATTCCTTGGCATTACTGTCTGTTGTATCTCATTAATGTTGTGTTAAAACACAGAAAAACGAGCCCTTAGGTATACGCTACACTTCTTTCCCTTATATTTATATATCTATATATATATATATATGTGTGTGTGTGTGTGTGTGTGTGTCATCTACATTGTAATAAGTTGTTTTAAGGTAGTGAAAACATAATAGTCTTAGACTCAATTGTGAGATGAATTTTTTCATTACAATGACTGGTGGTACATTAGGGCTGGTAGCTCTGATCTAATACAATGTACCCTTGTAACAAGAGTAAAATAAGGTGCATCTGACATTTTTCTTGAAAGGTTTTGAAAAAAAAAATTGCTTGGTGCTTAAAATAAAAGTTAATATTACAGCATCACATTTTTTATTTTAAATGTGGCATCTAAGAAAATCAGTCCGGAAGTCGTACTGTGGGAAGTATACAATTTTAAGATAAGAAAAGGGCCAGTGTGGATGGATCTACTGTGCAATGAGGGGAGTAATTTTTATTACACCCTCCATTAGCAACTTGGGACAGTATGTCTGATTTAGTGTTTTTTTTTAAAGAGGCTTGATTTAAAGAATTGCATAGTTTGAAGTAATCGGACATTTAGAACAACATTAAGCTGTTACTATCTATATGTAATTTCGCCTTGATAAAGGGCAGTAGCGAACGAAACTGCTACACAAGTGTCACGAGATAAGAGCACTTTCCTGCTCCCCAAAACTTGATAGGTGCTCTCCTAACTCTATCGACATTCATGCAATACAGTAGACTCCCAGTCAACAGAAATTTGTTAAAAAGAACTGCTGCTTAAATGGAAGAAGTGCTTCTCACAAGATTAGTTTCGTTCCTGTATTCCACACTTCATCTCTCAGTAAATGAAACTCCTGCTAAACGGAACATGTTTTCGTGGCTCCTTCAGGTTCCGTTAAATGAGAGTCTACTATGTTGTCTTGAGTAGGCATTGGTGCAAGTTCTTTGCGAGTTGACTTTGATGCATCATGTGAAATGATTTCTTATATTAGCAGCATGGCTTATCAACAGGTATCCTGCGGAATGCCTACCAGATTTCAGTTTAATTATAACAAAATGCCAGATTTTTCAGAATTCTTTCATGAATGTTGCATTAACAGCAATAAAATAATTTTTTATTTGCATCCAATTTAGGTTAAAATTTATTTATGAAAGCAATGTGGTCTCTGACCAATTTCTGAGCCTGACTTTTTAGTCATGTTAGATTATTCTTACCTGCGTAGGTCAACAGCATTCATCTCTGGTACGCGAATACACTGTGAATAAGAGTCATGCGCATGCCTGTTTATCTGCTGTGCAAGTCGTTGTACTGTGATATAGAGAATGTCGGTGCTACAGAATGCACTTGCTGAATTTCCTGAACGAGTAATGAAACTATTTCGCTATTTCTCACAAAGTTTAGTATTTTTCCATTGCTAACATTGTCTGGTCAGCTTTTGGTGAATGAACAGAAAGATTGTGATAGGAAAAGTTTTGTTTATGATATCGTACATAGGTGTTTAAATGAAGCTGTGCAGATTTCTAATGAAACTTAATATAGCCCTTTCACACCAAGCCCCGCCCATTTTAACCCCTCGTTTTCTTTGTTTTTTTTTGCAAGTGATGAAATCATGTGTGCAAAACATGCATATTAGCAAAATATAGTGCTCCTGAAGAAAGAAACAATAAAATTATTAAGTAGTAGTTTACAAATTTTTGTTAGCAGAGGATGCTAAGCATAAGGCAATATCTCAGGAGTGGGAAAATGAATACCGGACATTTGATAGTGTGGCTTGTCAAACAATATATATATATATATATATATATATATATATATATATATATATATATATATATATATATATATATATATATATATATATATATATATATATTAAACATGCATACGAGCGGGTAAGAATAAGCATTCAGTAGTGTTCAGGAACTTCTTCAGTGGTAAAAAAAAAAAGGCAGTAACTGGTGCATCAACATTGCTTGTTGGGCGATTTGGAACAAGCATGTACATTCTCTCGTTTGTCTGGTGTCTAGTGTTTGCACTAAACACCATTATGACTGCCTGGTACATCATTCCAGTGTTCAGTAGTCATATGGAAAAAGTTGTATTTAGATGCACCAATGCAAGCTTAAATACGGATATGCTGAACTGATTGCTTTTATGCCTAAGGGCTTTGTATCCACTGCATAGATTTATTTTAGAGGAGGTGTGAGACGAGGAAAAGAGGGAGTACAGGAGTTGTCGTGGTACTGGTGCAGCACCAATTGAAAAAAAAAATGCCCAGGGGAGGGGGGGGGGGACATTATGACACAAAAAGTTCGTCATGGTGGCAACATATGTATATAAGCACATTATGCCTCTTTTGGGAAAAACTGGTGTTAAATGCAAGGTCTTGGTACTAACATGGACATGTTAGTACAAGACATCATATGAGTATGCATGTTCTACAGTGTTACTTACTTGTGTAAACATTGGAATTTAAAACTCCTAGAAGAGCAAAAAATTATTTCTACATAAATGAAACAAAAATATCCACGGAGTGGGCTGTTTTCTTCTCAATTGCAGACAGCATTCGACATGTGCTGGACCGCAGTGCCAAGGTGTCTTTCAAGTGTATGGTGCGCTTGGAGATCAAACAAGACAAAACAGAGAACAGAGTGCTGGTAATATTCATGTCATTGAAGAATTCTGTGGCATAATTATGCTTGGAAAAAGGGAAATACTTTCATTAACATCAAAATGGAATATCATGTCAAGTTACATTAGTGTTGCCTGGTACTGAATCGTTAAAGAGACTGTCTGCCGTCCTTGATGAAGTAACTAACCTTGCAGTGGTTCTTCTTGAAATTCAGTAAAAATTTTTAAAACAATTTTTTATCTGCTTTCAGTCTTCTTCTACTGGTGTGAATGTCATTGCCTCCAGAACACTGGTTGGTCGCCCCGCCGCGGTGGTCTAGTGGCTAAGGTACTCGGCTGCTGACCCGCAGGTCGCGAGATCGAATCCCGGCTGCATTTCCGATGGAGGCGGAAATGTTGTAGGCCCGTGTGCTCAGATTTGGGCGCACGTTAAAGAACCCCAGGTGGTCGAAATTTCCGGAGCCCTCCACTACGGCGTCTCTCATAATCATATGGTGGTTTTGGGACGTTAAACCCCACATATCAATCCACAACACTGGTTGGTGGAGGCAATGACATTAGTAGTGCCGGTAAAAGTTCAAAACTGAAATCACGTGCAGTTTTTGCAGGCTTCATCAAGTTTTGTTTAATAATACTAATAAAATAAATACAGTAGTGATAATTTGAAGCATGCAGATTCTCATATAAAGTATTATTACCATGGTTTCTCCTGCTTTGTTTAGTCAGCCTGAAAAACTACCGCAGTCGAGTGAAAAAGCAACACTGGTACGGCCGGCATTGTGAAACAAATTGTAGTTGTTCCTCTCATGCCAAATGTGCTACTGGAACTACTAAAACAAACATGAGACATGCTTCACAAGAGAACAGGCCCTTTCCGTCTTTCAATTATGTCTGCGTTGCATAGGCAATATGAGAACCAACATGGAGGTCTTAGTGAAGTGGAATATGATGGCAAAATCTTCCTTAGGTGTAGAACGAATACTGGTGTGCACTTTACACATGAGGGCTTGGGCAACGTTACTAGATTAAAAGTTGGACTCACGGGCATGATTAGCGAATTCCCTAAGGTCAGTCACGCTGCTAGCTGCGATTCACCTAATACACTTTTTTTTATTGTTCTCATGAGAGGCGTCAGACTTTCTTCGCTGTAGGCAGGCAGGTGTTCAGGCAGACAAACGCACCGCCAGTAGCACCATCGAGCATCTCTTCGAACGTGTGAGAAAAAAAAAGCATAAATAGCCCTCCCGCACAACCTAAAGCCTTCTGAAGTGCATAATGTATCACTTCAAGTTATGCATGTTTGTTTTTAAGCAAAGTGAGTCTACCTGCGAGGATTTCTTGTCCTGCCAGTAGATTGAACTTCATTGCTATTTGGTGATGCTAGTGGTCAATCTTTGTTGACTTTCAATATCAAATGAAAATTATAATTTATTTTTTCATTGGACAAAACCATGCTCGTTACCACTGACGTGATGAACGATCTTCTCAATATCACCACCATCAAAAAAATTTCTCCGAGTGGTTGACAATGCCTTTCTCCGAGTGGTTGACAATGTTTTCTGAAACATGAGATGCAACACCACTGTGAAGCTCTTGCATCAGCTTCCTGTGAAGTTGTAAACTTGGAGGTTGCCTACGTGTTTCTTATTAATTATTTAGGATAAAAAAAGTCCCATTGCATACCAAATAACTTGGGGTGTAATCTTTCAAGGTAAAAATAAATGTTTTCTAGAAAAATACAAAATACAGAAAAAAGCTTTATATTTATGACATAGCACTGGCATACTGCTGTACGAAATGTTGTAGCAAAATCGGGAAGTCAAAGGCACTGTTTGATTTTCTCAATAAAAAAAAAAAACATTTTTTTCTTTATATGAATGCATATGATGTTTTTGAAGGAACACTGCTATCCTAAACATATTTGATATGGCTCTTAGTGTGCCCAACATAACATATATTAAGAATGTTTTACTAGTGCATAATTGGTGTAGTGTGTGCAGCACAGCATTAAATGTTTAAAGAGGTTTTTGCTGTGAATATTATGAATGTTATGAAATTATGTAGGATGAGTTTCATTGATTTAGTCTCAGCAAAAGAGGAGAAATTGACTCAACCATATTAAGTTCAAGAGAACATGAATGTTCCAAAAATCCAGGGGAATAAGCAATATTTGTGAAAGCCTCATCATGGTTGTCTGTATGTGGCTGCTAGCAGTTGCCATCTAAATAGTTTTTCGTGACGTTCCAGTTTCTGGAATAGTTAGTCAAAATTACATGGAGGCAGAGTATTGGCTATTGGCAGCAGCTTCTGGAGCTCTGTACTGTCAGAGCCGTCTATTTACAAGCAGTGTGTTGCAGGGCAGGTACAATGCGTAGTGTCTTATGTACACGATGTGTCGCTGTGCATGTGCTTTTTAGATGAATATTACTGAGAATGCGACATGCACAAACTCAAGGACCACACTTTGGTGATGTTGACTAGGGGTAGCTCTTGTATGGGTGCAGATAATTTCAAATTCATCTGCCCATTTTAGTGAGATCTCCAGAATCTTTTTTCTGAGAGTGAGCTGCATTGAAGCTTCTTGCTCTGAGCGATGGTGACAAAAGTTCTGACAGTAGTAGCAGTAGCGATGAGTATGAACTGTACGTGTAAATTATGTTTAAAGAAATGTTCCCTGACTGGCTGTGCACACACCCGAAGATCATTGCCTATGTTGAAGAAGTTCCGAAGTCGGTTTACGTTGAGTATGCATAAGCAACTGCCATAGCTAACCCATGCAGGGCATTCACGTGTTGCACTAGCAGATTCACCTTGGTTCTGTCGGAGTGCTCGCTTCAGAATCTCAGTGTCCACTCCAGATCTCCCAGGGGAATTTACCATTAGAGAAGCCATTTATCTCTAATGCTCTACATAGGGATGGCCTAGGAATCTGTATGTTATTTGTTTAGAAATTAAAAGCAGAAAAGCTGTTGTGTTTCTTTGCAGATTGCGTTTCGGGGAATACCGTTCAGGATATAGCTCTTGGATAAGTGTTGTCCTTACACAAGTGTATATCAGTTAGAAATAGTTTGCTGAGTAAGGGAAATTTTTCAACTACTGAAAGTATATTACAGTAATAAACTTTCATTAACTTATAATGTATTCATTAGGTAATCTTGTTGATTAAATATTATCTTGAAGGTTTAAATAATCATTTGTTTCTTTTCAGGCATTTTCTTCGTGTAGGTTTTTTATCCTCACTGCCAAAGTACCAACCAAGGTAAACTACCTTTATTCATGTTTGTGAAGGGCTATTTAACAGCACCAGCACCAACCTTGATCATTGACTATCTGCAATAGTTTTGTGAAAATTTTAAGAACCTCACTGCAACATGCCCAGTCACTTTATGAAAAACTTTTCTGCCCAACATAGTGTTCATTAGTGCCAGCCAGCACTACCATTGTTTTCACATAAAGCATGAAAGTGTGTAGGATAAAAGCCGTTGGTAAAAATGGTATTCTGTTATTAAAGGGACCCTGGAACACTCTTTCAGCATGGTCACGAAAACTGCCATTTGGTAGTTGATATTCCTGTAAACATGTGAGCGAAGCGTTGCAGGGCAGCACACGACATAGAATCAACTTAAAAGTCGGCTTTAAATTGCTTGCTGTTCTCTAAACAAATGATGCACTATATCCAAAATCACATGTTATTGGCCAATTTCAGCATTATGAGCTGCATAGTTACAGCTGCCGCCTTTGTGTGCTGCGCCGGGCCCGCGTCACACTCTGTATGCAGGGCTATAATTACACTATAGAATTGCGCCATCGCGCTCGTGATCTCACCGAAAGTGAGCCGTGCATTGAAAGAAAAGTAAAAAAGAACGTGTTCTAGGTCATGGCGCACCTGACATATACGTAGCTTCTTGCCCCCTTGTCAGCCCCCCTGCTGTGTAGATTTCAGCATGTTCCTTGGGAGGAAAGCAGAGAGAAAGCACCAAGAGCGTGCGACAAATCCTTGTACCTCCGCTGGTCCTTGATAGATTCTAATGGCAGTCTATTGAGACAATTAACTATTGACAGTGAGGCCACTTAATGACTATTTAGAAACATGCTACAAGGCCCCTTCAAAAAATCAAGTCTTGTTTTCTTATACGAAAGTGAAAATGAGTCTTGCACCTACTTACCATGGTGGTTTTAGCTGATAAAGGGTTGTGTTGCTGACATTGATTGATTTTCTGGTCATGGAGCATATTGATGGAGGTTAATGGTGAAAGCCTGAGCCGGCCAAATTTTACGCTGTGTTCAATGCTACATCATGCCTCACAATTATATTGTTGCTTTGGTACACAATACCCCTGAATTTACCTTGTCTCACGTCTCAAATTCTATTTGTCAAATATTTGCCATTCTGCCATCCTTATGAGGTGCTGAAATAGGCAAATTAAAATGAAATGGGAATGATGGTAAAGCATGACTTATAATACATCAGGTGCCAAGAAGTGCTGTTTTATCCTAGGAATAGTTTCAGAGGTATTATGCATCAGAGCTTATGGGGGATGATAAGCTGAAAATTGATGTTTACTTAGTGTGTATCCACCTACTCAATACTGAGCCAGTCCTAATATAAGTATGTCAAGTAATACATTTGATAAGGCATTGTGTTGCCTACACACAGAAAAAATTTAACTGCCCTGAAAACTTAAATCCCATTCAGTTTCAAGCTTCTTGTGATCAAATGGAAAGTGCATCAACATGAGCATTCATGTGCTTATAGCGTTCTGTTGGTTATATCGCCCCCCCCCCCCTCCCCCCCCAAAAAAAAACAAGAAAGGGGGGGGGGGGGTCATTCAGTTGCAGTTAATCACCTTTGTTGTGTGTTTGTGAGAGAGAGAAAGAGGGGTCATCTAATTTTTTTCATACTTGAAGTATGACGCGCTTAGTGGAAAACTATGATGTAATGAAATAATGAAATGTATAGTTATCTTTCTTGATCCGTGTTACACTTCAAATTGTTGGAAGAGCCGCACTTACCATTGCGGGGGCAAATAAATAAGAGTTGGTAATGATAGTGTAGCCCAAGCAAGTGAATGAGTCTATGCGATTCTGGTAGTGGAAATACAGGCACAAGAGCTCATTTGTAGTACTTTGTGCCATCTTAGCAGCATTCTAGTCATACGAAAATTTTACGTTTTACCCATTCTAGTCGCTCAGTGTTGCTACATAACATGTTTGCAGTGCATTCAGATGACGAACCGAATCCGGGTTAGGAGGGATAGGTGATGTTTTTCACATTATCCATCTGTGCCTTGTTAGCGTGACTTGTGGACGTCTAGCCCCGCCGTGGTGGTCTAGTGGATAAGGTACTCGGCTGCTGACCCGCAGGTCGCGGGTTCGAATCCCGGCTGCGGCGGCTGCATTTTCGATGGAGGCGGAAATGTTGTAGGCCCGTGTGCTCAGATTTGGGTGCACGTTAAAGAACCCCAGGTGGTCGAAATATCCGGAGCCCTCCACTAAGGCGTCTCTCATAATCATATGGTGGTTTTGGGACGTTAAACCCCACAAATCAATCAATCTTGTAGACGTCTAATTCCAACTTGTTTTTCACGTCTGAATTCCGGCATTAGAATGCTGTAGCTTTAGCGGAGAAACTAAGAGTGTCTGGCAACCAGCGCACTTTTCTTTTGCTTGAGTTGTATGGCTGTCCTCATAGTCGACGTCAGTTTTTGGTTTGCCGACTCGTGGTTCTGTTAGTTTCTGAGGTTGTATTCTAAAGCAATCACTTTTGGGGCACCTATCACTCTCAATGTGCACTTATCGGTGGGTTGTACAAGTGTAGGTTAGTTGTAAATTTAATCGAATTGCAGGTAAGTTGTAACTTTAATCATTGCACATGCGGGATTTTATGGCTAGCAAAGTGGTGCTATCGCCGAGAGCGATTCTCAGAAAATGGCCCATGTTTTCAACACTGAATTTAAAGTAAACATGCAAATAAGGAGAAGCAAACAAAATTTGCGGCAGGGCAATGTCCAGGGGCGGTACTTGTTATTTACAAAAAAAAGAAGTGTCAATATAAAATAATGCATCACTTCGCATGCGGGGCCCCATGCGTGTTAGCAGCAAGGTCAGTCTTCAGAAGCTCTCTATACAGCAGGTTCTTTTTCTCATCCAGCCTTTCTGCCAACAACACCATTTTTACTAAAACAAATTGCAGTCCTCGTCACTATTTGACACAGTTGGCGTAGTTTTTCGTCGGCCCCCATGTCGTGAAGTACTCTTAAACCAGTCTGCTGGTGACCAGTACAGAAGGTGTGGTCAAGAGTAATCCAGCTCTCTGGTGCTCTTGTCTACTAGGATGACGTCCGTCTTGTGAATGTGCCTGCAGATAGATTGTCTGTGGTATAGTTGAACACGTCCATGATAAATCCGAATTCGGTCCACTGTTTGAATGCACTCTTACTGAAGAGAAAGTTTTCATGATTTACCACACCTGCAGTTCATCTTGAACATTATTTGCATCAGGATCAATTATTAACTGCAGTTGGCATACTGCAGTTAATAATTGTGAAAATAAAATGTGAAAGCCTTACGTACATTTACATTGGCATCATTAAGTAATTCTTGTTTGTCGTATAAAAATCATTTAGGACACATCAGTCTATCACTGCAAATATAAAGATGTGGTTATGTAAAATAATGCAGCAAATTTAGACCTGGCGTCATTGTGTTGCAGACTTATGTGTTCCCATTTTTCTTCATGCCTGAGCGCAAAAGAAAAATCATACATAAAAAATGAAACCAGTCAAGTGTAAAATTTAGAACATTGCTGGATCAAAAAGAACAAAGAAAATCTTTCTGGGTGAATGAAAACTTGAAATGTTCTTGGTGATTAAAAAAAACAATAATTCAAAACTGTATCACAGCGCACCATCTAAGCATACAAAACTCCACCCTTCCCCCTCCTCAGAGAAAGAATATATATTGCTCAGAATGTTTGCTAAGGCACTTTGCCGGGCTAATTGGTTACGATTCAGAATTCATACGGCGTAGTGTATTACGACAGTGATAAAGAAGAAAAACGCACACACAGTGCTGTTTGTGTATGCCCTTTTTCTCTGTCCCTGTCATGATGTGTTACACCTTCTGAATTATGAATGCCTCGGATAGTTACAGGTGTATAGCTCTGGTTAGGCTCAGGCTTTTGGTGGCCTTGAGGCTTACAGACCATGTGTGAGGTTGAGAGGTCCTACTTCTTTCATGTTATTTTTGTGTAAATAATGATACTTGGCAAAAAAAAATTTTTATAATGATGTTTATTGGTCTAAGGGCACCCCGCGTGAAAAAGAACTGTTTCATCTGTGCATGCACTCCATGTCTCTGGAAACCCTAACCCTCTGCATGTGTAAGATATGCATTATTTTATGTAGGAGCAAACAATAGCTTCTGGGCATGCTAAGTGTGTTCTTTCACCTGCTGAGCTTATATATTGTTACGGAGCCAACACGAGCCAACGAGTTCAATTGGAGGCCTACAGTGCGGAATATGTCGAGAATAGCTGACAAACGCTGAAGGTGGGTCTCAAATGTTGGGGAATATACAACAACATCGTCAAGATAACAAAGACATGTTGACCATTTGAACCCTTGTAGCAGAGAGTCCATCATGCGCTCGAACGTCGCTGGGGCGTTGCATAGCCCAAATGGCATAACCTTGAACTGATATAGGCCGTCTGGAGTTACAAATGCAGTCTTCTCTTGGTCTTTTTCGTCGACAGCAATCTGCCAGTAGCCGGAACGTAGGTCTATTGTAGAAAAGTATCGGGCGCCGTGGAGACAATCGAGAGCGTCGTCGATGCGTGGTAAAGGGTAAACGTCCTTTTTCGTGATTCTATTCAGATGACGGTAATCCACGCAGAAGCGCCACGTGCCATCTTTCTTTTTAACGAGCACAACGTGAGACGCCCAAGAGCTCGAAGAGGGTTCAATAATTCCTTTGGCTAGCATCTTGGAGACTTCTTGTTGAATTATTTTACGCTCTGTGGCAGACACCCGGTATGGTCGCCGATGAATGGGATGAGAATCACCTGTGTTAATGCGGTGCTTGACGAGTGAACTCTGGCCGAGTGGACGGTGGTCAATGTCGGATATGTCGCGGTATGAAGTCAGAAGGCGGCATAGCGCGGTTGACTTCTCAGGTTTGAGGTCCGGTGCAATCATGAAGCGTAAGGTCGCATCGAGGCACTTGGCATCCTGCCAGTGATGTGGGTGCTCGGGACATACTTCTGCCGTAAAACAGATGACGTGGTTGTCAATCAAGGGCCTTAGTGTGGCGACCGAAATTCCTTGGGGTAGCACTTGTTTTAAGAAACCGAAATTGATAACAGGTAAATATGTTCGGTTAGAGGCCATTAAGAAACCGAAATTGATAACAGGTAAATATGTTCGGTTAGAGGCCATGCTTACGACAGAGTGTGGGACAGTAATGTCACGCACCAGGAGAACATCAGTAATCGGCGTCACGATATAATCACCGTCGAGCACGGGAGAGGGTGTTACCAATTCGATGAATGTGAGAGCTTTAGGCGGTATACGGAAGAAGTCAGTGGTGCACAAGCTGTTCGGGAGTTCAGGGTGAGAATCCGGGAGAAGAGGAAGTTCTAGGCAGAGAGTACTGGCGGCACAATCGATGAGGGCAGAATGCATCGATAGGAAGTCCATGCCGAAAATTAGGTCGTGGGGGCAATTTTCAAGCACCGTAAATAAAACGGGAACATGGCGGCCGGCAATACTAACACGAGCGGTACACATTCCAGTGATGGCCGCAGTTCCACCATCAGCGACACTGAGGGCTTTAGTTGCTGCAGGCGTGAGGACTTTTTTGAGCAGGCGACACAGATGAGCACTCATTGTGGACACTTGAGCTCCGGTATCGACTAACGCTGTCAAAGAAATACCGTCCACATACACCTCAATCAAGTTCGTATCAGTGGGGAGCGTCAATGGAGGATTTGGATCATTCGCAAGCGATGCAGCACTACCTCTCGGAGCTGCATGATCTAGTTTTCCGTTCGAGAGGATCCATAGTTGACCGGCGACGGATAGCGGCGTGGTTGGGGCGATGGGGAACGGCGGCGTTGAGGTGGCGGCGAACGAGCAGTGGTGTGGCTGTTGGGGATGTCGGAAGAAGGGTAGACAGGATTGGGCGAATACCGACGGGAGTCCTCGTATGGTCGATTAGAGGAAAATTGGCTCCAGTTTGAGGGCGTCCAAGTGCTGCGGCAGTAGCGAAAGATATGGCCAACTCGGTGGCAGCGGAAGCAGATCGGCTTGTCTTCTGCAGTTCTCCATTCCGCCGGATTACGGGATCGTGGAATAAAGTGTAAGTCATGGCCTGGTGCATTTGTTGTCATTGGTCTGAAGACGGGTCGGGAGACAAAGCAGGCCACAGGAAAACCAAGCTTTGCAATTTCCTGCCTCACGAATAACGGAGACCGGCGGAGGCGTTTTTGCGGCGCCATGGTCGAGCGGATGTGGAGGAAATGGTGCCGGACTTGACGCCTCAAGCTCCCGTCGAACTATTCATGTCACGCTGTCCTGCATGAGTGGTGCGGCACCGAGATCGGTGCAGGTGGATGTAACAGCCGTGTTTGGTAGCCGCGTAAATTGAGGCAGAACACGGCGGCTTTTGGCCATTTTGAAGCGGCGGCATTCCTTGATAGTCATATCTACGGTCGTGACGTTAGTGTAGACGAGCAAATTGAAGGCGTCGTCCGCGATGCCCTTAAGTATGTGGCCCACTTTGTCACTCTCTGTCATTCGCTCGTCGACTTTTCGGCACAACGCGAGCACATCTTGTATGTACGAGACATACGACTCTGTTGACGACTGCACACGAGTGGCGAGTTCTTTTCGCGCTTCTATTTGGCGACCGGACGGGTGCCGTCCAAGTAAAATATTACGTTGGCGAGCATCATGGTAGGGTCCCATCGGTGTGTGTGGCTAACACGCTCGTACATACGGAGCCAGTAGTCGACGTCGAGCCCAGGTTGTGCGGACAATGTACCGGGATCACGGGGGGTGGGCATCGTCAGGTATGTAGTGGCTGGAGCTACAGATGGAGACGCTGACAGGCTGTTGTCATTGGTAGCCACGGCCGGAGACTGAATGGTGCGGCCACTACGAAGCTTCGTGGTGAAGACGGAAAAGAAGAGACGCCGTAACGACGAGGCTGGGGATTAGATATATTCAAAACCAGCGGTAATGGCGTGCCCGGTTCACCAGCGATCGAGCGGAGCCAACTCTTCGTCTTCCTCGTCAGGCACACACGCGCGTCGCCCCCTAGAATATCAATATACATGCATGTAGCAATATTATAACTTAAGTGATGTGGAGCAAAGTGTAGTGATCCTGTAAGTGCTGGGGAGGTTTCTGAAGTTTGTAGACTGGTTACAGTCACTTTTGCCTTGCTTATATAGTGAGTGGCTAACATTTGTCATAGTGGTCACTTTATCATTAACATGACATGAGAGTTATTTCATAATGCTATCATGCATGGTTTGTACTTAGTAAAAAAACAAGCACATATTGGCTGTTTAGTGTGCATTTTTTTTGCATATATATAAGGGTATAGAAAGCGTGCCATTGTGTAATACAGTACTATCGGAAAAGGGGCATGTACACAAAGTACCCACTTCCACATTGTAAAGCCAGTGTCGAATTTCAAAGCCTGGCTCCCAGCATCAGTGTAGCTTACACTGCCACCAACAACAACATCGAATGCTCGTGCTCCATAGAAATCCTTTGGAGGCAGTCAGGGCTCTTCAAATATACTGAGTGATAAAACCAGAGGTCTTTCCGGAACATGGGGCATGGCGCAACAATGTAAACCCCTCAGTCAGTGAGAGGGTTCTCATTCTTTCCCAAGCACTCTATTTACTGCAACTAGGTGACTCATGTCAGGTGTTGAACCGAAGTGCAAACCAGCCGGCCTGTTTTACAGATACTTCATAAGATGTTACGCATCCAATAACATACAATTTACTTGTTAGTTGGTACCGTACCTTCCTAACTACTTAGCTCAATGAAAAACCAGTGCTGGATAGGTGGCACGCAAAAAACAGCACCTGGCGGAGAGTCGCGACACAACTCAGCTGCTCGCTCCCAGACGACCGGCTGCAGTGTACCACGAAGAAAGCACGCGCTTGTGCCGCTGCAGCGCTTCATTTGTAACAAGAACCCTGTCCTACTATGTTAAACATAGTTCAACAGAGGCATCTTAGCATCGAGTATTCATTGCGAGCATATCTTTTATAGTAGTTCAGCGGCTTAGCTGAATGTGCCCCCGCATAAATCTTGTGGACAAGGCAGCTTCTGTTTCGCTGTTTGCAAATTATGTAGACTACTTACTTGTATCATTCGCTTCACGCGGGGGGGGGGGGGGGGGGACATCAGATGGAGTTCGGTGGTGAGGTCATGATGAAAACTTTCTTTTTAAAGTTCCGTACGTACGCTGCATAATACGCTAATTTTATTTCCGGCAAACTACCGTATAAATTTGGCTGTTTCATCCTGGCTTCCACTGGTGGCCGTCTTCATTATCGAATGAATCTGGCAGACAGGCGCAATTCGGTTTAGAAACCAGCTCAACACCACTAGACAGAAGAGCGAGAGCAGAACATACTTTGCTTGTCTGACCGCTTGGATGCAATGCCGCCTCCTTTCTTATTGATACGATAACCAAGGAAAACTGTACAGGGATAAGTCCTCCCTCATTTCTACCTATTCTCGCACTTGAATACCAGCATCCTTTGGTTTTGTTTCGGCGCTGCGCGCCCACACCGCCTCTACCAGCCGCCACTCTCGCCTGCGGGAGCAGCTGAAAAGTGCGCGCTTTGGCCGCCAGGGACTTTCATCACAGTAACTTAAGCAGCTTTCGCAAAACCCAAGGCACTGCCATGCAAAAAATATACAGTACGTTATAAGTGAAGAAACATCTAGGTGTCCTCAATATCACTCGACTTTTGGTGCGTGTCGATTCACATACTTATTGTATTTGTGTTACTTCTAGTTGTGTGTTCCTTGTGACACACCTTTGTTCCACTTATGTTTCACCTTTTTCTTTTTTTGTTGGTTTCTGTGAGGCATGCCTGATGTGGTAATACCTGTCACCATTCACTATAAGAAAAATTACTCTGTATTTGAATATGTGGGCTGGGAAATATGATATTAAGATTTTGAAACTACTTTTACAGTCTTTAGTCAGTATGCTTTATTGATGCACATTAACTCAGCTTTGGTATATTTTGTTAGGTATATTTTACCTAAAATTGAGGCAATATCTGACATGTGGCCACAAGTGCATGTTGCTGAACAAAATTAAGTTTTCAGCTTTGCGGAGAGCAATGTCAAACGTTTAAATAAGTGTTCTGCCACTGTGTACACTGTTTAGTACAGCTTTAGTGGGGCTGCCTTTGTGCTTAACTTCTCTCTAAACATAGGCTACAAATAAGTTTTTTTGCATATTTATCATCTTCTGTGCACATTGCTGTACAATATGTCTGCCTGAAGATATTTTTGAGGTAAAGTAGAACTCCTGGGCATTTGCATGTTTTTTATAAACCTGTTTGTTTTTGAAAACATTTCAAATATAGAGCGTCTCACGTGTATTTAGCCTCTTATGAAAAATCAACTGCAATGATGGATATTATTGACAAACTTTATTTTAGCATTAACACCTATCAACATGCTAGTACAAGAAATGTTTTCCTTTATAGATGATCAGACAATCTTTCAGTATTGCTTTTTACTGCATAATTATTGTGTAGTGAATCTTATTCATGAATGTCTGGTAGTGCTTGTGCCAGTAAGACATTTTCTGTGAAAAAGATTACTTGGAATTATTCATCATGCAAAACTGGAGCATCTCAAGTTTTTAGAAAGGAATCACACATAGTTTAGCATTAACGCTTGTACAGGTGGTGTGGCTTTATGCATTACATTGTAGCGCTTATGTATGATTGCTAAAAAATGCAGAGAATTGTACAATGTGCACTTACCCTTCTCTCTTCGACCTCTTTTCATTCTCCAGATTGAGCACTCTTTTCACTATTTAGAAATTCAAACTGTAGAGAGCAAAAAGCCAAATCAGGTAAGACTTACTGAAATGTGTTTTTTCATACTTGTGTGCATTTGTGCATGTGCGTGGATATCCAAAGCTCTAGTGTTTAAATTTAATGCTGTCTGTTGTTCTATTCTTTCGTCGGGTAATATAATGCACACATCTGATAAAACAATATTGAAAGCTTACTGTTTGTCATTTTGTTCTTTGCTCTCCATTTTTCAGCTCTGCCTAACCATAGACAACAAAGTGTACACATTCTATTCAGTTGATCCCGAGTCCAGTGATGTTGACCATATGATCATTCAGCTAGGAACTGCTGTAAAAAGCATTTTTCCACAAGTGCCTTTGGAGTAAGTTGTTTTCATTGTGATAATCTCTTTAGTTCTTGTGTTTAGGCTGTAAAGTTGTGCTTTTGCCTTATGGTAATGTAGAAAAGTATTATTGCTTATTAATTTTCAGAAGTTTGTCTACATTCATCTTGCTTGGTATAGGATGTTGAATATGTATTTGTTTTTAAACTTTTACAGTTGCTGCAGACACTAGCAATGCTTAACTGTAGAACGAATATTTGTGTACTTTTGCTTCAATAAGACAATGGTTATTAAATGTGCATGTGTTATTTAGTATTTATTTACTTACTTACTTAGTTATTTATTTTGATAAAGTGTGGATGTTATCATAGTAGTTAGCAGATTAGCACACAAAGACATATTGTGTAGATAGTGTGTTAGTGGGCATAATTAACAAGGGCCTAATGGAAAAATTTCGTGACTATACATTCTTAAAGGTAGGTAACCTAATAAAGATAACAATTGTCACGTATTTGTGCTCTGAAACTTGCTTTACTTGCGGAGAACCTTGAGTGTAAAATTTAAGATATGATACTTTGTTTGGCATTATGTGTATATTTCTTTTCGGCTTGATTTTTTTCTTGGGCAGAACCAAATTTTTTAATGTTTTTTTCTAGCTAAGAGGCCATTTAAGAGCATGAAAAAATGTAAAGAAAGCTGTAAGTACAACGGTTTTCACAGGAGAACCATGTCCGGTATATTGGATACTGGGATTCATTTGTTGCACCTATGGGTACACACACTCGGCTATCTTTTTTGAAAGAGTGCTGCTTTTGGCCCTGTCAGAAAGTTAATCGTCTTATAGAATGCAAGCATGGTTCATTTTGACCCAAGAAAAAGATTCTCATGCTTAGCTGTTGCACATAGGGTTCAGCACCACAAAGAAAAAAAAAAACCTAGAAGGGTGGGGGAGAGGGTGTCTAACGTCCACAAGTGAACTTCATCAAACGCCGCTCCCTCCTCATGCTTCATGCTCTTGATGGATTCCCAGCCTACTCCAGTTTCATTTTTTATGGCTGGGCTTCAAGATTATCATCTGATGCCGCCTCTTGTTTTCTTTTTCCCCTCCATGTTTAGCATGATGTGCACCAATCGCATTTTGGTGTCCAGTGTATTCGACATCATTACATTCTCACATTGCCAGCAAGATTCTGATTACAAGGCTACCTTTTTGCAACAATGTTTTAAGAAGGGATAAGACTGCTTCACACGATTTAAATAATCTGATTTGCTCAAAGATAACTTCTAAAATAATTTTGTATACTTGACCACATCGTGAGTGCACTTCCGCACAGATGACGCCATTACTCTGAGGCGCCCCCATAAGAAAATGGGACTGAAGAAAGAACTACACTTGAAAACATATTGCTCAACTCTTACAGAAGCTGCCAAAGGTGTTCAGGTTCCGATTCCAGCTCTGCTTACTTTGCTGCTTTTTTTCGTCATGTCCAGTGCACTAGTGGCGGGGTCGGAAAGGGATACTCTTGAGTGATCATTGCTTGTACAGATGTCTCAATACCTAAGGAAGTAACCGGCAAATTAATGTCTGTTATAACATGTGACAGTGGCCATTTATAATGTCATTAATATAAGCAATTATAAAGAGCAGTGAGGGATCCAGGACACTTATGTAATCTACTCAAAATGCTGCTAGACAGTGAAAGTGTTGTCCCTATTTTTGTGCAAATTGTTTTCAGTTAGAGAAATATGCAGTGATGCAGGATAATCATTTTGTTAAGCCGAATTTCCAGAGTTCAGATATTAAGTTCTCAAGGGGAAAATTGTAGGTTCTGCCTGTTGCACATGAGCAGTATAATTCATGCATTCTTGTAGAAAGTCAGTTGATGCATTCCTGTATTATCATGGCCCTCCAAAGGTTGATAATCAGACGAGTGGAAGCAGTACCAGCTGTGAGGCTTCAGCCAATGCTCGAGTTCAACCAGTCGGCCGAAGCCTCAGATCCAGGTCCATGTGGAAACTTCTCAGCTCAGTACATCTGCATGTGCGACTTCCATGGTCTCCCTTTCAGAGAAGACGTGGCATGGGTAAGGCTACCCTGAAAATAAGCTTGCTTGTGCAGCTTGTTACTTCTTGCAACGCCGTACTTCATAATCTCCCATCAAGATCAGCATAAAAGGAACTTGAAAATGTTACTTTTTGCTAAAGTAGTCTTATGTAGTAATTCATTATTGCCTTTTTCAGTTTATTTTTATCAATTAATTAAGGTTTGCAAGTCAGTTGTTTGGAGAGCTCTACAATGATTTCATGTTTTAATGCAACAAGATTAAAATGTGTGCAATGAGTGCAGCAGTGTGCTAGGTTGTATGTATACCCGCTTATGTCATAAAAATAATAGGTGGTGAGACAGCCTGGTACAGTTATTGCAGGCCACACCATCATCTTGTTGCAAAAAGCCATGTGCCTGTTAGTACAAAAAGGGAATATGGAAGGAACATTCATGCTTCAATGTAAGCAATAAACAAGAATTTATTTTGTATCAGATGCAGGAAAGTGTAGATAAAGTAGTCAGGAAAAGAAGAAAAATGCAAAACAATACACATTTTACTTGTAGCTTATAACACATGTCAGGTCCTTCACGATTTAGGGATGTACTAGAAAAGTTTTACCAACGTACATGCTGTAGAAAAACTGAAATTTTCATTCTTACTTGAGGTTTTGTCATGCGTCCTGTGCACTTATCCTCTTTCTGTTTGAATGCAGACAAAAGAGAAGTACACAGGGCACACGACTCTCAACTGGTTTGTATTCAGAATAATATCAGAGAAGAAATCTAAGAACGTTGTTGGACCTCATGACTCTTGCTCAAAACAATATTATCATGGGGTCGTGACATAGGAAAAGGCATCAGGCTGTGTGTTCAAGATGAAGTTCTCTATCCGAGGGAACTTGTGCCCAGATGAAAAGTTAAAATACAAGCATTACACACTGTACACTGATAGTGGTAGACGAGAGTGTTGGCTATCGATAATCTGATCAGCGGTAAAGCATCTTGGCCTCTCATACCTTTGTGACTGAAAACTTCAGCATTATCGTTGGTGGTCAGGTTACTTCCAGAATAAATTCTGTTGTTCGCACATGGCGTACAATTTTATCGGGTGATTCTTAATTAATTTTAAAGGTTCCCAGACACTTGGGCATGGTTTGTGTAATGTACCGGTGACATATAAATACAGTTCAACCCCTTTATAAGAGACATGCTCCAGGCAGCTATTATTGCCTTTTATATGAGATGTTTCTTAAAGCAGGGTACCTCATATGCATTTTCTTTTTAATCCGTATTTTACTGTAGGCACACTGGTGTCTCTTATACCCATTTGCCTCTTACATAAGTGTCTCTTAGAAAGTGGTTCAACTGTATAAAAAGAAGTGTGTATGGCAGTATCAAATTTTTTCGGCCAGTAGACTTCCGCACAGCAATTTTTTGGTGAAATTGCTACTTGGGTTTGTAAAGCATTTGTACCTGTAATCCCAAAGTCACATCAAGAGCCGGCTCATGCAACCTTAATTTTTTCTTCTGATGGAAAAAGTATTCATTATTTCTTTGTCTAGGTGCTTTCTGTGCTTAGAAAGCAGCATCATGTCCTTGAAATTGGGGTACAGGAACATTCTTCGGAATGGTTAGCTGAATGTGAAGGTCTTGTTTTTATTAATGAATGGTTATGTACTTCCAGTCATTCATTCAGGTACTTTTCACTCTACCCTATTATACCTTGTTCGCACTTCCGCATGACAGTGGGATTTGGCACACTGTGTCTACATTGCAATCTACAAACGTAAACACATATTTGGTGCTGCATACATTTAAAGATTCTTTTGATGAGTTTGACCTTTTTTTATTCACATGGGTGCACATTCCAACCAAATTTCTTGGGGAGGAAAAAGTGACGACCACTCCATGACTTCGTTACTGTTTTCATATGCTTTTGCATGGTCTAAAAATTTTAGGTATTTCTGGTATTGTATTAATGTATAAAAGCTCAAAATATTCTAATTTTGTTTATAATGGTGAACCGTACTCACCTGAACCTTTTAACTGTGATAATTTGAGAGAAATGCTTTAAAATGCTCATGTTTGAACCTAGAGATCTTTGTAAGTACAAAAAGATGCAGAAGTGCAGGACAGGTCTCTTATTTGTGTTAGTGTTGCTTTGTGCTTCTTGAGATGTGCAAGTTCAGTTATCAAACTAGTAGCCCAAATTTCCGCATTGGATAAACTTTGGACATTGTCCTATATGTTGTGTCCTTAAAGGGTGTGGGATCTTGCACTTGGTGAGCGAGCGCCACGCCAAGCTCTTGGAGCGAAAGGACACAGTAGACACGGTCGGTACAAACCAAAGAACATCACATACGTTTATTTAGCTAATTTACAACGATGATATCGTCCGCCGAATCGATACATCAATCGTTATTAACACGCGAAGGACATCCCTACGCCATATTGCGCACTCCAAGACATGACACAATAACACGACAAACACACAATAACATGACAACACAATAACACACCCAAGGCGACGGCGCCAACGCTTGACTTACCACGTGGGCCCCCCGGCGCTCAGGCCGCGGTACCACTCGCCGAGGACCCACGCTAGAGACAACCATTCGCGGCAACCTCCACGTACAGAAGAGACTCGCTCAACTCTCGCCCGCCACCAAGGCTTGCTTCCGCCAGGGATCACTGCCGGCGCTACCACTGTAACAACCTTGATGATGACAGTGATACTCAACGCGAACACAACGCCATCTATTGCCCGGTGGTTGTAACCCGAAACGCAGGCGAGACACATGCGCCACGCAGCGCAAACAACATTACAGGGGGCGTCAGCACCCCCACAAGGGACACTAAAGAGCAAAATGTTTTTTGGCACATTAGTAAAAAACAATTTCACAACCTTGAAAATATCACTCTTAACGCGACACAGCGCTTAGTAAGTGAGAAAATATGCTAATAAAAAATGTGGTTGGCGATGCGATTTTGAGATCCTCGCACCAAACACAGTGTTGTAAGAAATTTCGAAGGCACCTACTGGGGGAGGGGGGGTCCTATGTAGCTTCCGACTGATGAAAGTGAAGTACTACATTGTAATCTGTGGGTGTCGCAGACTTATCATATGAAGTCTCAGAAAATTTTGTAATGTGGGTGACGACACTACCTTGAGATTCCCACACCAAACACCGTAATGTAAGGAATTTGGAAGGCGTCTACTGGGTCCTATGTCGCTTCCAATTAATAAAAATGAAGTACATTGTAATATGTGGGTGCCAGAGAGTTAGCTGACAACATTTCAGAAAAATGTTTTTGAGCCAATGCCACGAAAACACTGAACACATTTTGAAATTTCTTATGTCCTGTGTGGAGATTTTGGCATGAAATTCAAAACTGAATCCTCAACCTTGATTTTTTCTACTAATAATGAACTTATGACATTGAAACTTAAGGCATTGGGTTTCTCAGGGTTCAGTTTGTCAATCTAGGCCAAGTCATTGGTTCTTCTTCAGTGTCCCTTTCATCATCATCATCATCAGCCTGACTACGTCCACTGCAGGACAAAGGCCTCTCCCATGTTCCGCCAGTTAACCCGATCCTGTGCTTGCTGCTGCCAATTTATACCCGCAAACTTCTTAATCTCATCTGCCCACCTAACCTTCTGCCTCCCCCTAACCCGCTTCCCTTCTCTGGGAATCCAGTTAGTTACCCTTGATGACCAGCGGTTATCCTGTCTACGCGCTACATGCCCGGCCCATGTCCATTTGCTCTTCTTTATTTCAGCTATGATATCCTTAACCCCCGTTTGTTCCCTAATCCACTCTGCTCTCTTCTTGTCTCTTAAGGTTACACCTACCATTTTTTAGTGTCCCTTTAATAAGCCTTTAAGTATTTGCTCTTAAGCTCGTAAATGAGGCACGTGTGCTGAGGTGAGGTGCACTATGAAGATCCCCAGGGGGTTGAAATTCTTGGAACCCTATGACATTTCTTCTCGCCATATTACAATTTTGGGATGTAAAACCACTGCAATTATTTTTTCATTAAAGTTGAGGAACTTCTTGGTAATATGTTTTTTTTTCATCCAAGGATAATGTTGACCTTCATTAATGTTGGATTCATTCATTAATGTTGGCACCACTAATGTGGACCTTCATTAATGTTGGCACCTTCATTAATGTTGGATTGGCACCCAGATCATCGTAACATACCAATTACTGTGTGACTCGAGGTACCATATTGGGCAGACTGACATGAATCAGTGCAGTTAATGTTTTGTGAATCAATGTTTTGTGCCTTTCCATAAATCAGCAGGATTATATGCATGCCTAGGCTTCTTCATTAAGAGTAGCCAAGTTTCACTGCAGTGCCTCCGCCCTTTCCCCTGATATTGTTGGACGAGTCCGAAAGATAACAAGCTTAGTGATAGATGAAAAAATAAAAATTAAGAGATGACATTCTTCTCACAACAGCGTGAACCGGAGTTCTGAGGGGTAAAGCTGGAAATTAAGCATTTCGAGGCAGTGATGTATCCAAAGTCAAAATTTGAGAGGTCTAATACCCCCTCAAAACATTTGTCTATGTGTGCATGTGTGCACGCACACATAGACATGTGATGTATCCAGGGTGGTAATATGAGAGGCCAAATCCAACCTCAAAATTTTTAAAATACACACATACAAAAATTAGCATAAACATCTGGAGATTAGAAGCCCACTTGAAAACATTTTCGAACTACTCTCCTGGCTCTTAGAATTCAGTATCTGTTGCCTTGGCCACCATACCATCAAAAATTTGCACAGCCGCAAACCTGCATTTTAAAGATATGACATGACAGGTCTGACTGATCAAAGGCATAGAGCAGACTTAGCACTACGCTTAGATCAGGATAATTGATGGTAGCGCAGGCTAAGGACACGGACAAAAGGAGGCATATTTGAGTCACTACAGTGCTGTGGTGTCTCGAATGTGCCTTCATTTGTCTGTGTCCTTAGTCTGCACTACCATCATTTATCATGCTACCATAACCAACAAGCCCAAATCGCCACCCTCATCGACCTTAGATCAGGGTTCTCAAATATGCGGCCCGCACCCGCACATGACTACCATCGAGCTCTACTTTTTATGACGTTTTGACTGAAGTTTAGTGAAATTGCACTTGCACTAATTTCTTGTCTATGACAATTAACCTTGTAAACATGTCAAATCTGCAATAGCTGTTTATCATCACACCTATAGTTGCTTTATTAAGGTATTCAATGTATAAAATATGATACAGTGGGCATTACAAGGTTAATAATGCTTTGATGGAGTATTCTTCGCTGACATGACTGGCCTCGCGCTATGTTACAACCATGTTACAGAACCTGCATTCAGATCTTAGTCATGCTTTAGATATGTTTCAATATTTTGCTTGAATCCTCTCATGCTAAATTTTACCTTCAGAATTCAGAAATTAATCCATATGCGGGATTAAACTTTGAGTGCAGCCAGCTAGCTGAGCTGAGTTTGAGACCCCTGCCTTAGGTGATATGAAGGGGTGGCCACCTCTGCTGCTTTCCCTGTGTGCACGCCATCAAGTACGATTTAACACGGTGGACTGCTCCATGCTTGAAAGCATGCTGCAGCTGGTGCACATGTTAAACAGTACACATAAAAAAAATGCTACAATACTTGTTCTAGGTGTGTTCAAGGAATTGAAGCCATAAACTGAGTGTATAGTGTGTGTACATGAAACAAGGTTTGTGCGTCCAGCTTGCGTTTTCACACGTGTTCTTGACATGTGGCTTTAAAAATTGTCATTGTCACTGGGAAAACAAGGCACCTCGTTTAGGCTTGCATATGGCTAAGGGCCTACAGTGCTCGTATCACATTTCAGATGTGAAGCAACTCTTTCACTCACTTGTGTAAGGCTATTGACGTGCGTCCGTACGAACGCACTGCAGGTGTTGCAGCGGTGCCAAGCAGGTCACGTCACAGCTGCTTGTTGATGACACGCTCCCTTCGCACACTTCTCTCGCAGGTGCACGCTGACATCAATCTCTCCCTCGCAGCAACACACTCGCTGCAGGGCCCGCAGGTGCCGGCTTCTTCGCCCGCTCGCAACACACTTCTCTCTCGCTCCACCCTCTCCACTACCCGCAACGCTCGACCGCAAGTCGAGTGCAAACACTCTTTCGGCTCGTTTATCTGCGATGAAACTTACACTAAACCCGACCCGCCTCCCGTGTCTTTGAATTTCAAACGTTTACTCAAACGCATACCGAGTTTCTCTTCAAGCCGTTCTTTCAGCACCTGTGCCAACGCCTGCTTCAAACGGGTCAACGCCGTGTGCACCGCTGTTGCTTCGCATCCCATCAGGGTTCTCTCGGAGACATGGTCCATAATTTTCTCTAATCTACACTATTCAAAACATTCTGTGGTCTTTGAGTCCAATGTTATTTGAAGCCCAATTAGTAGCTTGCATTTAAAAAAAAAAATGTGCCTTTTCAATTCATGTTTTTTTGTGTGTGTGCAAACATTTGAAACTGAATGTGTATCCTATGTTTTCTTTCAGGATGTAGACACTATATATTTGTCTCATGATACAAAAGAGCTGTCATTGTTAGACTTTGATCATTTAGAGGGCCGGTGAGTACCTTAATTTTTTTTGACATGCCATTACTGGTGCAATATTGAAATGTGTCGTATCTTGTCAATAATTAAGTGCACTATGAAAATTTATGGATTAAAAAAACAGTAACTCCTTGAAATTTTTTTAACAAAACCATGTATTTAAACATTGTAATGAAGCAAGCTGTTTGCATTGATGGAAATGCGCCACTAATTGCATGGAGTTTATCAAGTAAGAAATGATTGCTGCTTTTCACATCTTTTTTGCTCCATGCCCACGCAGAGGTCATTATCAGTAAGCCTTTAAGGCAACCCTGCAAACTCAATTGCAATGATTTTGAAACCAGAGCATAGCTAGTTCTTCAAGCGGTCAAGCCAAGCCAATGTTTACTCTTTGAAGCTCTAATGAGGTGTTCAATATATTGGCACCTGTAGTGGTGCCAGTGTGTCAGACTTTTTCATGACCACATTGTGCGTCTGAATCAGCAGTCACTTTGTAGCGTACAAGCAACTGGTCTTTGGGGGTGCCTGCTACCTTACCTTGAAGAGCATAAAGGAAGATTTTTAAATACATCTTGTCGTGGTTAGCTACACTTTTATTTATATGGAATATGTTAGAATTGTTAGAAACCTATACATAAGAAGTTTAAAGCCTTAGCCAGTATCACTCAGTTCTATCAGTACTATTTTGCTGTTTACCATTAATTGCTTTGATGGCACTTTGCGATATAGTTACATCACTTACACATGGTTTTCTATTTCTGCTATTGACAGCATTGGTTTTAGGTGTTGCATGGAGTGCAATATGTAATCCACAAAAGCCAAGAAAGAAAATTCTGATTTCAGTGATGTAAACACTGGGAAAGATATTTCCTCTAAGATATTTCATTTAAACTGTGCATCTCAGAGTATCAATTATGCATTTCTTGCAACAAAATATTTTCTAGATGTCACATCACTATTGTTTTATAATAGTGAAACACGAAATATTGTTTACCTCTTAGTATTTTTTCTCATTTTCTTTCATTGACAAGGTATTTTTTGTTTTCAGAGACCTGGTGCCAATCATATCTGCACTTTGTTACAATGCCTGGTTCACAAAGTTCAGAGCAAGCAATGTAAAACTTGTGAGTGAAGCTTTTTAACCTAAAGTGATTTTTTTTATTGAACTGGAAATTTCGTGAAACAAATAAGATTTTCTGGTACAGTTAAAAACTTCGCCAGCTCATAGGTTGTGGAATCAGGCTTCTATGTGAAGTTCAATATAGAAGTTCAATATAGAATGAACATCTATATTGAGTGATAATTTTGACCTTGTTTACAAGTGGCTTCATATTCATTTCTGTTGTAGAAACAGTACAAGAAATGTGTAAAGTAAAAAAAAAACTTTTTTGTAACTCATCATATATTTATCAGAGATGTATATATTGTAATAATGTGTCACACATATTTCGGGCAACTTTTTTTAAAGCTTGTTTTTTTATCTTGTGGTGTTTGTTGTTGCTGTTGTCTTATGTTATTAAGTTGCTTTGGTGCACACGGCCTCACTCCTCTTGGTGGTACTGATCGTGTTTGTCTTGTGCCTTGTGCCGATTGTAGCGCTGCACATGTGACCCAGCTCATCACCACAAAGAGACTGTGAGGCTGCACACTTGGAAAGAAAAATCCTTGGCAACACTCACCAAATGGGTGATTTAGTAGCAGGGCTTTAGTACATTTGATTAATTGTTTTACATAAAATCTAGTAAGTGACACTTTAGAACACAGATATATAATAATGTAAACTACAAACTGTAGCATTTGGGGTCAATAAATGACACTTTAACACAAAGGACCAAGTTTAAAGGGGAGATGATCCCTTTGGTCATCACTCTTGCTATCACACACCCCTGACCAGAAGGGAAAACAGCAGTCATAAATACAGTTTAGATAAATAGACTGTGCACAGTTGCGAGACGCTGCTGTGGGACTTGAGACCATGGTAGGGGAACCACACCCTCCAAGGTCCTGAAGTGGTCTTCCCGGGCCCCACCTCGTGGCTTGTGCTATTTGGACAAGCACGAGCAAGGCCAGAATACAGCCGTTATTAGATCAATCGGACACTGTGTTAAGCCCTTAGGGGTGGTGTGGTTATCGAGTAACAGTGTTTTACGGACTGCCGCATCAGCCCAGGAGGTGTGAGACATGAAAATTCTCTGAAGGGAAATAGTATCGAGCAACTAATGCGGACACCTGTATTTCCACAACCTTCACAATTTTTTTTCATATGACCTGCTGAACCTTTTGTGGTTCAAATATTTTTATGCTGTACTATATTAACATCGCTGCCATTCTCTATTTTATTGGTAACTTTTCAATTTTCCTGTGTGCTGGTAAAAAAAAAAGGCAATTCAATTTTCAAACCTTTTCTTCCGTCAAAGACACTCAAAAGTATGATACAGTTAAACCTGCCTATAACAAACCTCCATATGACGAATTTCCTCGATATATTTTTTATTCCCCGTTGTTGCTCTATAGAAGCACATGTATTTGCGACCTCTAGGGAACAAAGTAACAGCGGGAGACAACCTTGATATAACGAATTTTCCCCATGGACAATTTAGAAATATTGCCCCGAATTTCGGCCTTTTTGTGCAAGCATGCATCTACCACGGGTGCCCCACCGCTGACGAAGCGCTAAGCGGCGCACCAGACAACCAGGCAAGAGCGAGCGCTCGTTACTGCGCGCGGGTGAGCTGAGCGCGAGGTGGGCCTGCGCCCCACGAACCGTCATTGACGCCTTTCTTGCCGCCGCGGCAGCATGTGCAAATGCCCCCCCCCCCCCTCCTCCCAAATTCTGTTCCGTTGGCGATGCCACGCTTTTAGTCAACGTCACATATGTGGGGCCGCACTGCATATGGAGGGTTCTTTACCGAATAGTTTTCTGCAGTATCCGTGTCTGTGTCCATGTCATTCGCTCTTCGTTGTCGACACCGAGCGCACGTGCATGGTTTCACTGGGTGCGAATTGTGTGGCCTCAACGACGTTCAGCTTTGCTTTATATTTTTGCTTTTTTGTTTTTTTTAAATGCAGACAACCGTGTCGTAACCTCTGAGGGGATGTGAGATTAGGCTCTGATGGAAACTCTCCAAGACCACGGTGACGGCGGATCTTTGGAGGTTGACTCATCACGCGCTTCCGTCTTCCACTGCATTGCGAGTTCGCAGGCTCATAGCTTTCGTGATTAGCCAGATTAGATCTGGCAGCAACACGACGGCGCGTTGAATGTTATGCACTGAACTCAATATCGAAGAATTGCAATGTTATACGAAGTAAGGCTGGCAGCCAACTCTTCTGGATCCGATATCGTGGCAATCCTGCAAAACGCTTGTGTCAGCAAATACAGCCGCTGCAGCGAGAAGTGCTCTTTTCACACAGTCCTTTCGCGTTAAGAGCACAAATACTTGCCGATATAGCACGCGCACCAGCGATCGTGACCGCCCTTAAAATCAAAGTCCATTGTTGCTACTCGAGCATCCCCCCCCCCCCCCCCAAGTTTTTTCATGCTCATTCAGGACAGGTGGTTTTCTTTGTGTTTGAGCATTCAACCGCAGTTCTAACACGCCAGGGACATTATCTTATGCGCCTTCCAGATTGTAGATATGGGCTGGCTCATTTGGTCTGAGCTCCAGTAGCGCTGGCACGTTTTTACCCGCTCGTGAAAGTTACAATGCGCGGGGCATAGACTTGTTACGCCACATGGCGGCGATGGCAAAAACCCTCCGAGAATGCCTATATAATTGCTATCGCAATAATAATGCAGCTTTTTACTGCTAAATAAGTGTTTTGGGTTAGCTCTGCCTTTATTCGCCCTTTTGTTTGATTTTTGCTTTTATTTTCTGAATTTTTGTACTGAACCTGAATATAACGAAAGCCTTTGTATAACGATTTTTTCTGGGAAATAATCAATTTCATTATATTCAGGTGTAACTGTAGTACTTGAAAAATTATCTTTACAGCTGCATCAGGTTACTACCTTGCTATATGCATGGTTGCTTCATGTAGTGTGCTTTCGAAGAAAAAAAGTGTTTAGTTATTTCAGTGCAGCTGGACAAGCAGCTGTACAAGAACTGTAATATATCATCAAAAACTCTTGTAACACATTTTTATCTGCAGGTTTTGACATTGTGAAAATAGAGTGCGGTCCTTACAGGATAGAACGGTGTTTACATATGTAACTGCAGTGAACGCCACTAAGATGTTCACTTTACAAGCAGAAGGAAAACTGGGCATGTAGAAAGCTTGGTTTATATTATTGGATTATAAGCCACTTTGTTTCAAGAGGCTACTATATATAATGTACCTTTAAAGACCTGCTTTGGGTTTTGCTTCTGTAAAGGCACAGTGTGCCTTATAATGCACAATGTTGTGTTTGAGAGAACAGAGCGCTGTTCGTGAAAGTTTTACCTTGAATTCTGTGTCAAAAGATAATTTCAAGCTGAAAGTCAATATACTTTTACTTATACAATTCTATTAGGCCTTATTGGTCTAACAGACATCAGCGTTGTTGCAATAAAAGGTGCTTAGTATGTAGCTTTCTAGGTATTAATGTAGAAGCCTTAAAGCAGCTTTTTTAAATTGGTACAGTGAACTTGACTGGTTGGCTCATAATGATTGAATTTCAGGCTTCAGAAGCACTCGAACAAGTACTCCAGGTGATGAAACGTTCTGTGTCACTGGAGGAGTTGTACCTGGATAACACAGGCATTAAATGGTATGTACCTATCTGTATCTCTGTTTTCTTTAGCAGTGAGGCTTCTCTACTGTAAAGTTAATGGGGTAAGCTAAATAACTTTTCAATAAAAGGCGGGAGCTCTACTACCATCTACTACAGTAAAACCTCATTACTTCGAAGTCAGTGGGGCAGTGAGAAATATTCTAATTAAGTGGGTTTTTGAATTAACGAAACATAAAAAAGGTGGGATGCGTGGAACTCGGACTTACTTGAAGTAGGGCTGGTCGTTTGCTGTGCCGGCTAGTTTGGGGCTCTAAGGGTTATGTTTTCGGGCAATACCTGTTCCAAATTTTACCACAAACACGGAGGAACGGCGGCCACTAAAAAAAAAAAAAAAGGAGAAACAATGGCTTCATTTGAATTGACAAAGGGCACTCCAAGAATTATAATGGCATATGTTTCACTACTGTGGGTTTATTATTAGTAAAGAAAATCAAGGTCGAAGTTTCATTTTTAAATTTCACGCCAAAATCTCCGCTTGTGACGTAAGAAATTTTAAAATGTATTTCCAATATTTTCGTGGCATTGGCTTGACAAAATTTTCTGAAACTTCGTATGCTAAGTTTGTGGCACCCACAGATTGCAATGTACTTCATTTTTACTGATCGGATGCTACGTAGGACCCAGTAGACGCCTTCAAAATTTATTATATCACGATGTTTGGTGCGGGAATCTCAAAGTGGCATCGCCACTCGCATTTTTTTTCGTGCATTTTCTCGCTTACAAAGCATCGTGATCGAAGTATCGTGCCGCGGTAAACGTGGCGTTTTCGGGATCGGGAAATTGTACTTTATTTACACGCGAAAAATCGTTTTGCTCTTCAGTGTCCCTTTAGAACGGAAATGCCTGCCTGCGGAAAACAAGAGATCTTCACTCCAACACAGTAGTGACACGCGGGTAGCATGTTGCCTCTTCCTCGCTGCGTCAGCATGTCATGATGCAACCATTTGCCCATTCTTTCCAGTGAAATGAAGAATTTAATAACGGGCAATTCGTGATGTGTTTTGACTGGAACATATGATCATTGAAGCTTTCAAACTTAGTTCTCGAAGTAGGTGTTGCAGGCAAGAACTCCACCAGCAGTGCAAGTGGGTAAATTGCTGGAGCAACCGCCAACTGGAGGTTCACATACATCGCGAATTCCGTCAGTCTGTCCTCAATATTTTTTGATATTCCCTGAAAGAATGGGTAAATCATGTTGGGCTGATGTTGCGAGAAGCATGCCTTATGCTCCCTGTGCGTCACCGCTGAATTTCAGTGAAGCTCGTCTTGTTTTATGCGAGTGCTCATTTCAATTAACCACAAGACCCCCCCCCCCCCCCTTTTTTTTTTTGCTGGAAGTAGCAAGGCTGCGATGCCTCACTTGCCGCTCATTAGTATCGCTACATTGCATTGCCTTGTGTCTCCTAAGGGTGAAATCGGGCTTAGAAAATAGTGCATGGCACCCAAAGTTTTCTAAATAGCCGGACTTGTGCTGACCGCCGCTTCAAGTTATCCGCTCAGACTTACATTGCAAAATACGGGACCACGGAAATATTCCAAATTAAGTGGTATTTTGAAATAACAGAGTTTGAATTAATGAGGTTTTACTGTATATGTACTACTTTGTTGACACCATTGTTTGATCTGATGGCCAGCATAGCCTGCTGGGACTGATAGGGCAGGTGTGTAGTGTGTTTATATGCCGGTATTTATTAACAAGTACTATCTTATAAAATAATTTTTATTTGCTGCACTGGAGCACTTAAAAAAAGCCGATGCGCCCAATTGAGAACATAAGAGCAGGACGTACAAAATAGTTTGACTTCATCTATGCAACACTTTATGGTGGCTACTCTATACTTGAATAAGGAAGAGCAGGTTGCATGCACAGAGGACATAATTTAGCTCTAATTTAGTACACTGATAAATCATGGTTAGTAGGTGGTACTATATGGAAATGGAGGCTTGCTTGGCAGGCACAGTTCGACCAGATTTTTGGATTTCCAGTTGACCGGCAGATTACAGAAGTTCAGAGCTGGCACATCGGATAATTTATTAGTGGCATAGCATGCCGCTGATTAGAGTGAAGTGTGTTCTGAAGTAGAAAAATTTTAAATGAATTTCTAGTAGACAGTTGCATGAGCAAAACTGTACTTTATATGTATGGTTTTCTGGGATTACTTAAACAGAAATATTTTTTGTTTTATGCATTAGTTAATTGTTCTTCAATTTGTTACGAGCTTGATAAACATGATGTTTATTAGCTGTACATTGTGCCTGAAAATTTTACACCTTGGCGGTTTGTGTTTTAGGGAATTTGCACACAAACTTTCCATGACCCTCATCGCCAATCCTAACTCGCCATTGAACTCGTTGGACCTTTCCAACAACTTGATAGAAGACAAAGGTATGCGCGCATCTTTCTCTGTGAATTAATATAAGTGCATGCCTGCTTTATGTTCTTCATGTAAAATCAGGGAAGCTTGTTCATATTGCGTAAAAAGTATCAGTAGTTCATTAATGTAAGTCTTTTTATCATGTCCGTTATGTCACCATTAATGCTCTGTGTAGTTCCCATCACTTGCGTAATGTTTCAAACACTTGCCGCTGTGGGAACGATGAAAGTAGAAGACTTCTTTAGTGTGCAGTAGAAAGGAAAAAAATGAACTTGGTGGTTACAAGCAGCACAAAAAATAATGAAAGTTCGCATAAGTTGCTAGCAAGTAGCTTTGTATGGTGTAGTTAGTGTGTTTACAGATTGTAAATTACACAGTAGACAGGAACAAAGATGTGCGGCTGAAACAGTGCACATGCCCATTTGATCACCTTTACATTTACTTGCATTACTTGGGAGCATCTTGTATACTGAAATAATTAAGAGCAGAAATCAGGAATAAATGTGCTGGCAAGGGTTGGAGCTCGTGTAGCACGATGAGGTAAGATGATGTCAGTGGTGAAGAATATATAAAATGTGGAAGCTGTTCTAGCAATGGCACAGGCAAAGTGGTGTGATGCATGGTATCACCAGTCGCATCTTGCTAAGGATTTTGATTGTATACTCACAATATGTATGGAATGAGGGCAAACTGATAAGCTCAGTGAGCAGAGGTGCTTGAATGCAAACATTTACTGCTAATGCTGCATGTGGTGTGTTTGCTGAAAGGTTGCAATCATTTGTCATAATGTTTAAAGTAACATGGTTACCTGTGAGCCAGTGAAGACCTTTACACATTGCACCGCTCTTTTTATTTGATATTATTTTTCCCTGGCATACTGATGAGTTCGAGCTCTGACCACCAAATCCTGTTTGAGCTTTGCAGACATTTCTAGAGATTTTCTTAAATTGACATGATTACCTGTGTACCAGCGTGTGTACCAGCAAAAACCATTGTGCATTGCACCACTCTTCAAAAAAAAAAGAAAAAAAGAAGCTTGTAGCACTTTCATGAGCTAACGACACCAAGCACCAAATAATATTTATTTTGGCTCGCAGAAAGTGTTAATTGGTAGTGCTGCAGGAATTATATTTCCAGTTCACTAATAGTCTGAGAGCTTTATAAGGGATTCATTATTGTGCTCGCACATTCTGTGTTGTTTGTCTGGCAGCATTTTTAAACATCTGCATCACCATCATAGATCGACAAAAAAAAAAAGTGGAACATACTCAGACTCTCTCAAGAAATGTATCTTGCACTTTGGACTCGCTCAGACTGAGTTTCGCCCAAATTTTCTTGAGCAACTCACTCAGACTCACACGCGCAAAAATTTTCTTCAACCGGAGTCAAGCTCGCCAAAATATTGCTCACCGAGACTCACTCCGATGAGTCTTAGTGGTATAACTGTCAGTTCAAGCGCACGAATAAACAGAAAGGAAGAGAAGACAAGCGCTTGTGAGTCGACTCATGAGTGAGCTTACCAACCTGTGATCACCATGCTGCTGCTGTACTAGCTGCAGCAATAATTTCATTTATCCTGAGATCGAAGCACGAACAGCTGCACTGGAGAAAACATCCGAGCAAAACAGAAAGAAGCCAAAGTACCCACTCAGAGAAGCATGCATAATATGCGACACGATGGATGATCAAGATGGATAGCTCACCCAAGGATAGCACACGCGACAAGCAAGCAACACTCAAGATATGGCAGTGGAATTGTAGATCTATAAAATCCAAAAGGCAGAGCCTATTACATCTAACTATTCAAGAACATCCCGACGTCATTGCCCTGCAAGAAACCCAATCAGACAGTATCAAGATCAGAGGATACGAAACATATATAGCGGAGGGAAGGACCCGCACAGTGGACCTAATACAAAAACGGCTTATTGCACAACCGCATCACATTGTCAGTCCTATCGAACACACATTTGTGGAAATTCTCCCTGCCAAGAAAACGGATCAGAGCCTTTTCATCTTAAACATTTATAGTCCGCCGAGATAATCTCTTTTAAGCTTCGATGCACTTCTGAGAGAAGTGAATAAGTATGCAAAAGGACACAAGCTCGTGGTGGTGGGGGACTACCAACGCCTACCATACTGCTTGGGGTTATCACAAAACAGACAGGAAAGGAACCACTGTCCATGACACAGCGCAACACCATCAGTTAACTTTGTGGACGGATCAGCACACCCCTACAAGAATAGTGAACAGTGTATCAAGAGACACCAACCCGGATCTAACCTTCACAGTGGGAATATCTCAAGTTGAATGGACAAGACTCGAAGAAACCCTGGGAAGTGACCACCACTTAGTGCAAACGGAAATAACCTACAAAAGGGCACCCCTTAAGATTGCCAAGGCAAAGATCGCGGACTGGACCGCTTTCCGTAAAGATCTCACACAAAGTATTGAAGACCTTGACGAGTGGACGAGTCTTATTACAGAAAAATCCCAGAAGCACACGAAGGAAATTCAACTGACAGTTGACAAACCAGCAGTGGACTCCCACCGTCTCTACCTGTGGGAAGCCCGTAGAAGCCTTATCTGTCGATGGAAAAAACAGAAGTGGGACAGGGTCTTGAAAAAACGGATTGCGGTACTGACCAGGCAAGCTGACAAATACGCTGACGAATTAGTACGGCAGAACTGGAACCAGATTTGCGACAACCTGCAAGGAACTTTGAGCACTCGCAACACCTGGAAGATCATCAGGTCGCCCTTGAGCAGAACGAAATCAAAGACAAACTCTACAAAGAACCTGAGAAAATTCATTCACAACTGCGGGGTCTCGGAAGATGAAATTCTATTAGAATTGTAGCAGAAGCTGACAGGAGGTACCCAAGCTGCAATAGTTCCTGCTTTGGACCTCGAATACACAGGAAACCGAAATGAAGAACTCGATCGCCCGTTCACACTGGAAGAAATGCAAGTGGAATTGGCAAAATTAACTCGAAACACAACTCCAGGTAAAGTGTGGCAGCTTGGGCTAGTTGGTATGGCATGACGATAGTTATAGCACGAGAACAAAACGCCGACGCCGAAACAAGAAGGAGATGTGTCCTTCGTCTTCTTGTCTCTGCGTCGTTGTTTGGTTCTCGCGCTATAAATATCGTCATGCCCAGGTAAAGACCGCATCAACAACAAGATACTCCGTAACTTAGGCAAAAATGAGGAAGATTACCTATTAAAAGCTATAAATGACAGCTGGGAAAGTGGGACCGTTCCAGCAATCCGAAAACATACTGAGATCATCGTGATTCTTAAGCCAAACAAACCACTGGGAATAGAAAATATGTGACCCATATCCCTGACATCCTGCGCAGGTAAGCTATATGAACATATGTTCCTCAACAGACTAACTCCATACTTGGAAGAAAACCGATACTTGCCTGACACAATGTATGGATACCGCCACCATTTGTCAGCGCAAGACATCCGGTGGCAGCTTAAGGAGGAGGTCATCGATCACCTAAGCAAGCATAGCAAAAACGCAGTCTTGGCATTAGACGTGAAAGGAGCGTTCGACAATGTTTTTCACAGCACAGTACTGAGGAACCTCCAGGACACGCACTGTGGCGAAAGAACGTACCACTATGTAGAAAACTTTCTACCGGCAGAACAGCAACAGTGCGCCTTGGCACTCTGAAATTAGATCAGTTTGAAATGGCAAACAAAGGAACCCCTCAAGGCTCCGTCATCTCGCCACTCCTTTTTAATATTGCCATGACGAAACTGCTGAATATATTGAAAGGAATACATAGGATAAGGCATGCCCTCTATGCAGATTATCTAACCATCTGGACAACCGGTGGCTCTTCAGGAGCTCAGCAGGATGCACTTCAAGAGGCAGTTAACCGCACAGAAAATTACCTTAATGCTCGTGGGCTCACATGTGCACCAGAAAAGTTTGAGCTTCTTCTGTTGAAAGCCAGAACAAGGGGGAGGCCGCCAACAGGTAAAATCCCTGAACCAAGGCTTTGGTTGAAAGGAGTGCAAATCCCTAAAATGGAATCTCTCAGAGTTCTGGGTCTAGACATCCACAAAGACGGATCGGGTGCAGCCACATTACCGAAGCTTCAAGCAACTGTGACTCAAGTTGCACACTTAGTACGACGGGTATCAAACAAAAGACACGGCTTGAAAAAACACGACACCATCAAATTGATCTAAGCACCCATCACCTGCAGAATTACTTATGGAACCCTTTACTTGGATCTCGAGAATTCTGAAATTCAAGAATTGAATACCCTTATACGTAGGCCATCAAAACTGCCAAAGGAATCTCTGAATGTGCTTCCACGCAGCCACTAATACACTTAGGCCTCCACAACACCTGGGAGGAGCTCGTTGAAGCACACAAAGTAACTCAACTCGGACGGCTTAGACTAACTGAAACTAGGCAAGCGACACTTTGAAGATTGGGTTATTCGAAAGCAATGCAACAATGTGATGAAAAAAGGAATATTACAGCAACAATTATACAGAACATCTCAGTTGCCCGCATCTCACGAAATATGCATCTTACCTATCATCTCGAAAGAAGGAAAGCCAGAATAAAGAAGCTCCGACAAGATTACGGTCGCGATTCGCACACAAGATACACCGATGCAGCGAAATATCCAGGAATCCCGGTACATGCTGTTAGCGTAGTCGACAGCGATAGCAAAGAGAGGCAGCTAGCATGTTAACTACAGAAATCGACACGGCAGAAGAAACAGCGATAGCGCTAGCAGTCACAACGTGTACTGACACAGCAGTAATACTAACCAATTCGCAAGCAGCTTGTCGAAATTATCAGAAAGAATTTCCAACCAAGTCTTGGGAATTCTCGCCACTGCAGCGAAGACAAATCTGCCAGACACGCACTACATCGTTTGGACTCCAGGTCACGAGTTCTGATGGGAAATGAGGCAGCCAATGCTTTCGCCCGAGCTCATGTTCACCAAGCCATCCCTCAGGACGCGTTGAGGAGGAAAGATGATGTACCTAAAAAGTACAACGATATATACTGCAGCACTACAGGCTAAACAGAAGAATTTATTCACCAGCTCACCCGAGCCTGACTCGGGAAGAGGCAGTAACCCTCAGGAAGCTGCAAACTAACACCTACGTTCACGGTATGCTGCTTCACCGCATTTCACTAACCGAATACTCATACAACTACTGCAAGCACTGTGATGTCCCAGAAACCCTATGTCATATGGTATGGGGATGCAGACAAAGCCCTGGAGCCACTACACTAACCGAAGAGCAGTGAGAAGCCCAGTTATCAGACCCGGGCTTGAAGAATCAGCGTAGCATGGTTCAACGGGCGCGCGGGAGATGGCGAACGAAGGCCCGCGGCTTCCTGGGATAAAGAGGCCGCCCACCTTGGGCGCACAATGCGTTAGCTCAAATAAAAGTTTATTCTCTCTCTCTCTCTCTGAGATCACCGCCTTAGTGGCTGACGCATGAAGTCAGTTGGTTTGTAGTGTTGATTACTTTCAATCCAAAGACAAGTGGAAAGGAGCACTGCTGTGACATACAGCGTTGATGTATCCAGTGCTAGGATGCAGTGGAGCAAGATTAAACACTGCGGAGTGGAAGAGTTTATCCTCTATGCTATCTTTTGTGCCCAAGGAGAGTTCTGTACTCGGATCATTAGAATGGGCCTTTGCATGTTGGTTGTAGTTTGTCCAAGCTTGTTTATGCTTTATTTATCAAAGTGCTTATTTAGTAGTCTCCGGTGTATCATGTTGCATCGAATATTAAAGGGACTATAAACACATCTTCATCCACATTATGCCTGATCCAGGGGTGCAACAGCTGCGCAGTTTGTGCCAATTTGATACAATTCACCATTTTTGCACCACATTGCACCAAAATGCCCGACCAGCCTCAAAATGTTCTCAGTTGCGCTAGGTTTAGCGAGAGAGGGCAAGAAAAGGTAGCCACGCTAGCCACCTGCAGTTTGCATCATCAGTCAATATAGGGATCCAGGTGCATGGACCCCAACCCTAAACCATGGTGTAAGATACTTAGGCTAGGACACTCGCGAAACGCGATCGACCAGATAAAGTAACAATGCTGCGCACCCATTAATCTGCTCACCATAGCAGATATCTATCAGCGGACTATGCAACTTCAAGACAAAAATGCGTTGCCATAGCCAGCAACACTTCGCAGGAAATATGAATTTCCTAGTGAGCAAACGCGGCTGTGAAATGTTAGAAACTAAAGCTGCAAGCGCATGTCGCTGTTACTGTGTGCTAACAAACTCGACGTGCTGTGAACACCAGCGTTGCCAGTTGCCGTAGCAAGGGCACACACGATAAATAACTGGTGTCGTTGCCGGGCCAATGGGCCTGAGTCGTTGTTACTTTATCTAGTCAAATAAGCCTTGCAAGCAAGCTCAGAAGTTTTGCTCTAAGCTTGAACCCACCGCGAAAAAAAAAAAAAAAAAAAAAGAGGGGCGGGGGGGGGGGGGATGTAGTGCTTCGAAAATTGCTTGGCCTTGTTCTAATAGCATGTGCAGAACGCCGCTTAAACCACCTTTGCTGCAGTACACTGGTGGCCGGTGGAAAAGCGTTTTAATGTTTGGAATGGGCTGTTAGCACTAGTCACAGGACACATCACAGTTTGTTCATTTACTCATGCATGTGTGCACCTCATGATTGTGAGTACTAATATGGTCGCTGACACCTAAAAAAGTTACTGGCAATCATTTGGAGCACTGTATGGCAGTTATGCAGCTCTTAAAAAAAGAAACAAATAAAACTGTTTGCTTTTTTTTTTTTCGTCATTCTACTCCTCAGTATTACGAATCTCCCAAATCTCACGATAACCAGCTTGACAGATCCACATCTGAATCCCCAGAGTCTGTCAAAGGATTTGACAGGCATCACAAGTGTTAATGTGGACTTCATCATTGTTTGCTGAGCGGGGTGGTTCAGAATATTACTTTTTTTTATTGAAGTAGCAGTGCTGATATTATTTTTTCTAAATGTAAGCATTTTTTTTCACACGGCTCTAAATTTGGTCTTTCGTGATAAAAAGTGAATGGTTTTTCCCTGTAACCTGCTCCAAATTTGCATTTTAGTGCTCCAAAAGTAACATTTTGATGCTTCAGAAATCGCTCCAAATTCTATCTCGGCTGTTCCACCCTTGATGTTCTGAGACCTCAGCTTTTTTAAAACTCTATTTCAAAAAAAAAAAAAAAAATTGATGATTTCCAACTGTCAAAGATAAGTTTGGTGATTTCAGTTTTGAACATGGCTGTGACTAGTTGTCATAATGTTGCACTAATTAAGACTGCTGCTACATGCCAAAGAGGGCTGTCAGTGGTTGTTGCTCTCTGGGTTTGCTAGCCCAGATCAACACATATGAACCATTTGAGTACCTATAGATGAAACTGAACAAATGACAAGGCTGCCAATGTGGGCTTATTTCTAAATATTCAGCTAAGGTGGTGGTTGAGCCCAGGGAAGCACACCGGACATATCATCACATGTATGTTCAATGTGCTGGTTTTTTTGTGGCTCCCCATCTTCTATTGCACTGAATCATGACCTTTTTCAAACAAGTTTAGCACAATGCTTTGTTTGCACTTTATCTGTTCAGTCTCAGTGGTTAGTGTTTGCTGTTCTTTAAGTTGTCTTCTCATACTAGCCCAAAAAGAGATGGGCTTCACTGTAATGGAAGGGAACCTTGAACGCCATGTATATGGCTGCAATCATTCGGTGTATTATATAATACTGCAAAAGAGCAGCAGCAGTAACAGCAAATCGAGAGATGGCTTGCCTCTACCAAGCAATGCAGCAGAGCCAAGCTATCTGAGAGCACATGTGAGAGCCACGCTAAGTGATGCTAGGCTATTAGTTAACTGGGGCTTCTTTCTCATTTAAACAAGTTTTGGCTTATTTTTGAGCATTTGCTGAGCCAGTTCTCATCCAATTTTAACTAACCTATCAGAAGTCAAATTTCGTCAAGCTCATTTCTAAGTCAAATATCACCTGGTCTTTGAGACTGCCTAGACAGGCCTAGTGTACAAAACCGTGCATTGTCATTCATATTATGCATGGCCATTGCCAAATTTTGCATTGCTTGTTGTGTTGCCGTACCTATCTATTTTCATTCTGAGTCCAGCTTGTGTTCTATCTTGACATCTGCAAAATCATTATAGGTATAGTAAAAGTGCTTTCACACTGAAAAATGTGGAAGAAAGCTGACTATTTGATAGCTGAAATTAAAAAATCATACCAACTGTCCACTGCAGCACTTCGCTATGATTTTATTTCTTGTACCTTTGAAGCATTATCATTTATTAATATTTTTGTCAGTGCCGTTCTTTTAAAGGCTTATGGATTCAAGTCATCAGAGAGCTTTACATGATTGACAAGATCTCGGAAGCTACTGGTTTGAGTTTGAGCTCTTGCCTACAGATCCCGAGCTTGGACTTGTATACTAAACATAAAATTACAAATTGAGCTAGGGTTTTCTTCAGTGATTGTCGCTTGCAATGAACGTTTTGTATCATGGCTATGATTCTGAAATGAAACAAGGAGCTTCAAGCCAGTGGAATACGACCAGTTCCCAGAGAACAAACAAAAGGCTAAAAGTTCAACTAAGCTTGAAAATGGTCATTTCTCATTTATTTTCTAGCCCCCCCCCCCCCCCCCAGGTGAATCAGAAGTTTTACTTACACGTTGAAGCAACGTGAGTGTAAAGGAAATGCCCAGATCATCTCAGCAGTTTAGAAAGAGGGGGTGGGTATGTTTAAAGGATATTTGCAACTGTGGACGACCTGAAAGAATCGTGAAAGGAACTCAACAGTACCCCAGAGGTACTTTTAACAATCACACAAAAGGCTGGGCAGGTGCACTACTGTAAATGGGGATTATTGAAAGGAATTTATGTGCTCAAGAAACCACCCTTTTTGTCTGTGGGATCCAAGCCCACAATTCTTGAATTATGTATACTCCCCCACTCCCCCCCCCCCACACACACAAAGAGAGACAGACAGACAGAGAGGAAAATGCATTGCAGTCTGGCATTGTGGATCAGGCATTATGGTGCTGGCCTGCTAACCTGAAGGTCGCAGGTCTGATCCCAGGCGTGGCAGGGCAGGCAAGCAGGGCAGGGCAGAAGGCGGGGCAGGGCAGGGCAGGGCATAGTAGGGTGTTCATCGTTGTATGTCTTTTAAATGTTGGTAGCAAGTGTTCTATAAATGTGGGCTTCGTGTTTATAGTCATTTTAACTGAATAAGACAGTTTAAAGGGGATTTTTATCAAGTATACTGTATGATTACTGTGTTGTTTGTCACACATGTTATGTATACACTTATTTCTTTGTGTACAGGGCTGAATAGTCTGTGTGGAATCATTGCCAAAATTACTCAAGGTCTGATATTCCAGTTTCTGTGTGTGCATGTTTTACCCTGATGTACTCGTATACGTATTTGTATGTTAGCATAATGCTTTGGCAAAGATAACGCTTGCATGTTTTTGTATGTCTCATTTTGCTGTGTTTTAACCTTCCTAAAGCGAGTGCCTTTTGTGCAGTAGCTGTGTTTAGTATGTGCACGTGCTGTTGTATGCATGATCTTCAAATTAGCTTTCTTTCTTTTATTTTTTATGTTAGCATGACTAAGAGTTCTATTTCAAACATATCTATTGCAGGATACCTGAAAATATTTTTGCTCCATTTAAGCACATGATATGGACAAAAAAAGCTAGCACTTGGTCAAAACCTTTTGATCAAATTGTTATCACAGCATAATTTATTAAAACATGGTTCCATACTTAAAATAATGACATAATCCTTATGAAACAATGCTTAAATAAGTATGCATGCCTAATGACATCTTTATGCCATGACTATTTAAAAATTCCATTCAGTCTGATATGTATTTAAAAAGAGCGAGAGAGAGATTAGTTGTACTTGTCGTTGGTCCTGGCATGGGGGTTTTAATGACAAATTGCTAAATGTGGAAATCAGTCTTATTATTGCTCTTATACTTCCCCTTTCCCCTCAGAAATTTGTTGCGACCATGACAGACTGTAGCATCAAAGCTATTACTTCTAGGTTCCTAAATTGAAGAGTAATTATTTAACAGCAGAGCTGTGTCTAGTATGTGGACACTTGCTGCCCTGCCAGAAGTGTGTGCTGTTTCTTTGTTTGCTAGATAAGTTTTGGCTCGAGATGCAGTGGCAATGCAAGGTATTGTGATGCTTTACCACTGGCAATATAAAAGTTATTTAAAAGTTTTTTTTTTTCCAAAGAAGGATATTCTTTTGTACGTTATGTAATATGCATGCATATTCGTTTGGTTGCAGCGATGTAATATGCAATACACAATTAAGTTCACAGCTGCCTCTGGTCACTGTGAACAAAGCTGGCATTTTGGCCCGTATTCACATACCAGCTTTATCCTGATCTAGCGTTTTCCTTATTCGTTTTGGGCCTTTAGTGTGTTTAAGAAACAAAGTATGGCCGTATTCTTAAATAAATCTTGTAGGTGTTTCCTCTTTTTTACCTGTTAACATTTTGTGCTCTTATAACGTGTGTTGAGTGCACAGAAACTTGATGAAAACACAAGATAAGGATAAGGTTGATTTTTTGGAATGCTTGGTAGCCTTTGAAATCTTTTGGTGAATGCTATCACTCTCTAGGGGTAAAGTTTTTTTCATCTCATGGCTTGTGCGTGCGACAGATTAGGCGTATTTAGCGTGGTTAATTTCACCGTTGAGTGACAGATGGCGTTGTGGGCGCATGATGGCGTAATGGCACCGCCTGGTTGTCGAGGATAGGCAATTGCACAGGGAGCTGCAGCGAGGCTCTTTGAGGTTTGGCTGTGTGCATAGGCAGACGGCTCTCGAGGTCTGTAGCTATAATTCCACGGGTCGGACCCACGGGCCCTCATGGCAAATCGGACGTTTGCGACATCATAGTCATGGTACAATGTCCATGTTATGTTTTCTGTGTATTGTATTGCAATTATGTATGTAATGTGTTACTAGTTATATATTAAATTTGGCTAACAAGTTTGCTGTTGTAAGAACAGTTAATGTCCAGGTGGTTCATTTGCTTGATGGCGTGACTGTTTGTGTGTTCCAAGAGCAGCTCTATTTGATCCCACACTGTATGGAAGCAAACATCATAGATGTGAAATGAAAAAATTATATGAGCCAGTTTGTGAACAAAGGGGTAACCTGGATTTCTCTAGGCAGCAGCATTTATGTGGTAGTACTGAGGGGAAGTGGTAGTGCATAGGAACACGGTGTACAGTATTATGGTTCATTGTTAAAAGGAGCACCTGAAGTTCACCGGGGTTGTGAAGTGGTCATGGTGCTCAGCTGCTGAACCAAAGGTTGCAAGTTGGATCCCAGCTACACTGGTCCAATTTCGGTGGAAGTGAAATGTTAGAGGCACGTGTACTGTGCAATGTTGGTCATGTTAAAAAAATGCCTGTTGTTCGAAATTTCCAGAGTCCTCCACTATGGTACGTCTCATAATCATGCCTTGGCTAGGATTATGAGGCTGATTGTGATCTTCAGGTATTTACCTGGCACAATTTTCTTTTAATTGCACTTGTAACAAGCAGTCATATGAGGTAGGCTATTGTGACCTGTTGTTATGTGTTCAAGATTTTCATTTTTTTTGCCTAGTCTTATTGGTTTGATATGTGCAAGTGCTCACATGAATGTGTAGCACATAATTATTGACTTCCTGGTACGCTTTTAAGCTACACATTCACATCCTAGTATTCAACATTGTTTTTGTTCTGTGATCAATCGTTACTCAACCAAGACTTTTACATGATTTTTTTTTGCCAGTTCTGTCTGGTTTTCTGAGGTGTGTTCTGTAAAGCTACAGCTTTACATCTTGATATATCACTGTTTTTTGTAATGTTGACCTACTAGGGGTTCACATTGCTCCACAGATCATGCTTTTTCACTTAAGTAGTTGTGACAGTTATGTTTTTTGCTCATATCTTGATGCACACTTTTAAATCATGAATTACGACTGTGCATCTAATATAGCCACAAGGTGAAGGTCAGGTGCAGTGCTTGCACCTTTTGCACCTTATGGGCACAACCTGCAACCAACACTATAAATTAATGGCACCACACACATGTGAGGATTGTACACGCACATTACTATTGCGAGAAGTTAGTGCGATCTTATTTACATCTACGTCTTCTTGTTCTTAAATATTGTATTCGGTAGTGTGTTTCAAAGCAGGACTGCTGTTGCCTGTGAACATTGGAACCCATCATCTTTTAAATGTGGAAAAAAGAGCTGCATAAAACGTAGTATATCAGTGTTGTAGTGCTTTCATTTGGACTTCAATAACTTTGCATTGATTCTGTAACTGCAGCATTAATAATTCAGTGTTTACCTATAGTAAGCTCTAGATGCCGTAACGGACAAAGCACAAATGTGTTTGAAAGATTGCATGTAATGTCTATACAGAGGACTCAAAGTTATATTAAGAATGACTCCACACTAGTAGGGATACCCAGATTGGCATGCACAGAAATGTGCATATGTGCATTATTTTTTTTTCTGTGTGATTTATGGCTAACTTGTAACCACACCTACCACACCTAGCTTACTGCATTTAATGAATGTTGCACAAGTTGTAGTGTATGTCAGCTGCACAACAAAGTCTTACTAAACAACAATGTACTGTAATTATTCATATTTGGAAAGTTGTAATGCTAGAGGCCTGTGTACTGAGTGATATTAGTGCACATTAAAGAACACCAGATGATGAAAATATGAAAATTTTTGGAGCCCTCCACTATGGCGTCCCTTATGATCGTTGCGTAGTTTTGGGACACAAAACCCTGGAAAAAAAATATTCATTTTAGGGCCACCGTTCAATACATGAAGTTGAATGAATCATAATAAAGCCGCATCAGCTTAACAAAATTTTTGTACCTAACATCATATTTAAGAACTGCATCATCAAAATGTGTGGCACAATGAAGGGTAATGCCAGTTAATACTAACCCGAACTGAATTTTTTATGGCTCTAGGTGGTGGGGGGCCAGCAACACAAAGCTATAGCTAAAGGTTTGATCTCTTGGGATGCTCTTGTGAAGAAAAAAAAAATACTAATAAGGTAGAGAGAGAAAGAAAGAGATAAAAAAAAAAAGCCGGGAGGTTAACTCTTTCATTACCGCGCGAGAATGGTTATTTTTCATATGTCTCGGAAACATCGTTTTTGCCAGTCCAAAAAGTACTCCAACACACATTGCAGCATACCAAGTTTTGTGCAATAAAAGGCTCTTTAAAAAATAAATAAATGCTATAGAGCAACAAATATAGTTTGGTATGAATAAAAATGTGGAAACTGTGTAATTTTTGGTTGCCAATAGGTAAACAGAGCAATAGAAAACACTATATGTGCAAAATATTCAAAACAAAGAAAATCGCACGCAATATTGCACGCAGTTCTAAAACATTTCGCGCTGCTCTGTAGTCAGAGCCAGGATGTGCTTTGGAAACCTTGTCATTATGAGAAGCTCTGCAGCCGGTGCCAGCACACCGCACCCCAGCCACATGTGGACCTTACACGTTCCTTTCATAACATAACTTTGATGTTACTACAGTATAATCTCGAGGGGCACGCACTTTTGTCAGATTCGCCAGTCTAGTGCACTTTTCCAACAATACACGCACATTGGTTCGCGCGAAGGTCTGTTAAAAATCACCATGTTGCCCAAACGGGCAAATTCAAATTGATTCTGAAGGTTGAGTGGCTGGACTAACTACTAGAAAGTGCTGGGTGCACGAGAAACATATTTAGCATGCTAAAATCGATGATCCAAAGCGTCAATTCCCGGTGATTGATTTGAATAGGCGTGGTTACGAAAGAGTTAACCAAATATTGGCATCCGGTTTGCTACCCAGCACTGGGGGTGGGGAAATAGGAGCATATTAGACAATCAACCTCTGTCAGAGGAAAGAATTTTACAATATCGACAGGATGAAACTTCACAGAAGAAGTTCCTGAAAGCGCTACTGCACTTTTTGTGATCGACCGGCCTTTCTGAAAAGTAGCCAGAATGCCCTTCCTGTGTGTGTTTTTGTTTTCTCATGAGTACACGTGCGTTTTTTTTCCTCTCTCTCAAAGGTAGTATTGCTGTATTTGATGCTTGCATAAGATAATGAGGATTTAGTTGAGTAAAGAAAATGTTTAGTTAGCCTTATGGATAGCTGATTGAAGCCTAATTAAAAGGGCCACTCACACATTGAAAGCACAGAAAAAGGCCCATAGGTTCATCATGAGTGAACATAGGAAATTGGCATTTGGTAGGTACTTACTATTCGTCATGGGTATCGCCAGAATTATGCCTTAGGGGTTCGAACCCACAGTAAGTAGCGGCTGGGGGAGGTGGAGAGAGTTCTGGTGCAGCTTGAGTGAAGGCAATTACTGCTTGCTAAGACAGATGCGAGGGCTAGTTGGTAATTGGGAATCAACATATTTGCACAACGCAAGACATGTGAGTTGCAGCGTAACTACGTTAGAAGAGACAAGGACAGAAAAGAGTACATACTTCAACTGAAATTTTATTAGCGAAAACGCTATAAATATATACTAGTGACTGAAACCAGCACGTCACAGCACAACCGTGCAACCTATTGCAACACAGGCAGACAATGAATATCTCATCAAGTGGGCACAAGATCACACGTCAGCGTAAACTCACAATTTATCGCGTCGAAGCCAGATACTCTATTTTTTTTTTTTTTTAGTGAGTGCAACCGAAGGCATGGTGAGACATAGATCACCCAGCATTTGCATTTGATTGGCCTAGTGTGTGTGCTAATTGGCGTCGGCTGCATATGAGTACCCTCTGCAGCATTTACATCACACAAACATAGTGTGCTTCTTGTTGTGCCGATGTGACAGTGGTAGAATTCGTGCCGACTTCTCCTTGCTTTGCTACTCTCCTTTTGTTCATTGTTCTCCTGTGCTGGTGCGTTTGGACACATCAGCACTCGCCTGGCCAGATCTTGTAGGAGGAGTGAGATGTGTGTGAGCTTGCACTCATTGTGGTCACATACAGGGGAGATGATAGTGTACATCTAAGTTCTAGTGAATTGTATGCATTCGCATAGTGTATAAATTTACATAAAGCGTCCTCAAAATTTACCAAAATTCTACATTCTACACAGAGTTGCTATCATAGGAAGTTCACCAAGTTAGTACCATTACATTCCTTAAGCGCATCTAAGGACCCCTGCATTTTTTTTTTTTTCACTGTTCCAGTGACTGTTAGCTAAAATGTTTATTTCACCACACCTGTGCATGTGTATGGTATCTTGAAGCATGTTTGCATGTGCTACAATCTTTTGCAATCTTGTGTGGCTGTGCATTGCATTCATCTGCCTGATTTAGCTGGGGCTTATTGTTTATGGAAGCTGCCCATCATTTCTGCATTTAATGATGAACTTGTAAACTGTTATGTTAAACTCAATTGTTGGTAAAATTGTCATTTTGTTTCTGTGATAGTCTAAGCAGGATATTTGAATATATAATTAGACTATATGTATAGCTTCAACTAAGATTTCATGTGAGCTGCATTTGCCTGTTCGTCTTTTGATGGTTTAAAATTTTCAAAGTTATGTACAATCTTGTGTACGATTTTCAGATGAGCAGTTCATTAGTAATAATAATGATTATGTAATGTTAAAAGGTGTCATGTTTTTAGTTGTCCTGTATGAAATGCCTATACGAGGTATGTGGTGTATTTACTATAGCGTGTGCTTGTGTAAGTGAATCTGCAATTCAGCTTGCCCTTGCTTGTATTGCTGTGTCAGTTGCCTTGGTTGCTGCTTTTTGCTGTGGCTCATGCTGCTATACGTAACTGTGCTTGTACTGTACTTCTGTTAAGATATAGTGTCTGTGTTTTATACGTGCATTAACTACTATAACTGTCCCTGCTGAATTTTTTCTTCCAGGAGTCGGGCAGCTTTGCGTGCCACTGGGAAAGCTGCATAAGGGACTGAGTTACCTGAACCTGGCCCACACAGGAATCACTGCCAAGGGTGTTAACACACTTGCACATGCACTTTCTTTGAACCGTTCCATGCCCTCCAACCTCACGTACCTCAATCTCAGTGATAATGTCTTTAAAGATGACATAAATGTGAGTTTTTTGTGACTTTTATCACACATTCAATTTGCTGTTGTCAGACGAGAGAAAAAAGAATGCATTTTTTTTTTCAGAACCTGTACAACTACTTGGCTCAACCAAACTCTCTTGTCCACCTAGATCTATCTGGCACTGAATGTGCCCTGGAAACTGTAAGCAGCATCCTAGCTCCTGTCACTATTTGTTTTTCATTTTCATTCTTGCAGTATTTATATGTTCATACACAGTGCAGTGGCATACCGCTTAGTCACTAAAAAATACCCTAGCTGGTATAACAGCACTGTTGCATCAGTGGGTATAGTCAAACCTTTCTATATTGTGCTTGGCAAAGTTGAATTATCTCTTATTTTGAATTATACTGGAACACAGCGATGCTTTAAGGCTAACACACTGGAAAATATATGAACAAATAGAACAAAAATGGACAGAACACTTCATACATCAAACCTCTTGCAGTGCCAAACACTGCAAGAGGTTGGCTTTTCCTTACAAGAAGTTGGCTTTTTTTTGTGTGAAATGGGGCTTTTCCACATACATTTGGGAGCACAAGCAGTGTGATTTAGACGAGTGCCGCTGGGAGTGAGTAGGAAACCTCTTGCCATTGTGTGCTTTCTCCCATGACTCCTCATTCTTGCGCCCGTTGGCCCATCACACATTGTTGCTATTCGCTTTTCTGCTCCCTTTGTTAATGCTGTGAAGAGGAAGAACGGGCTGTGCTCTGTAATGCTAGTGATGGTCAACAGAGCCAAAATTGGGTAGGCATGTTTGGCGCCATTTTGGACCAAAAGTCTTCCTAATTCATTCATTGTGTTGCGATGATCTTGAGCTGCCAGAGCGCAAATATGGAAGGCATTATGTCACGTCACGTAATCCGCTGCAGAGAGCAATCACAGCTGTGCTCTAAACCTCACTACTGCAGTACCACATGACTACGGCATAGTTAAACCACCAACAGACGCTCACCTGCTTCTCTTCGCACCTTTCAGCTATCTCAAGCGACTGTTGCGATATCATGTGAGCTGTATAGTATTGCGTACAAATGAAAACAAACCAAGTTTGGCTCAACTGCTGCTGCCTCGGTAGCTAATAATGAAATTGTGGATGGTGACCATGCCTCCATGGTTGTTTCAGTTGTTTGCAAACGCCCTTCTCTTCCTTTGCATCGCACATTTGTGGTGCTTCGCACTCGGTGTGCTCTGAGGATCATACAAGCTAATGACAGGGCTAATGATTGGCAAATAACAATTTTACAGAGTGAGGTCTGTGCTTGAGAAAGTCTAAAATGACAGTTTGATACTCAACAGCGCTTCAGAAATCAAGAAATTGAGGTAAATGTAGAACGTATTTTGCACCACCTGTAGTATATTCTGTAACAGAAGTCTTATGACATAGTAGAGCCTCGGTAAGACAGAATAAAATGCAAGTGGTGCATTTCAGTTTGATCCATGCAAAAGAACAACATCTTGAGTTGCCCTTGAGAGCAACACAAGTTACAATTTCCCCGGGCTGTGGGTGCTCCACTATAAGAGGGTTGGACGGGGGCAGGGCCCTCGAGATGGTGCCAATGTCAGAACGGCAGCACATTCATCTTGGTGGTCTCCACGTAGGCACTCAACGGCATTCTATCCATACAGACTACAGTGTCGTGCACAGCTTCTCATCGCCGCTTGCTGTTTCAAGAAAACTGATAAGGCGCCACACTAGAGGACATCTGCGTCACCACCAGCCACAGAGATGGCAGTGGATGCCATAGCGCACCAAGTGATGACGTCTCTTGCAACCCTCCTATATCCCTTTGGTTCATTGCTCGATTGCATCACAACCTCTGCTGTCCGGCAGTAAAGCTAATAAAGGATAGGCATGGCTGCATCAGAAAGCCGTTACCAGAGGCAGCCAAAATAAATTGCATTAACGGTATGCGGTCTGCTAATACATGATTTTATTTCCAACTAAGCATTTCCTTGACACAGAATTGGTACTATGAGGTTCAAAATGCTATTTCAACAGTCTGTGGTGACTTACTTGCCCTTCAAGGAAAGATGCGAGTTGAAAAAACAAAAAATTATTTTAAAAATTACATATATTTTTTATTTGTTTCACAAGGTTAGTTTTACTTTCACAACAAAACAGTAAGACCAAGTTGGCTACTAAAACTAAACAGAGCCCATTGTCAAGAGTCCCACGAAATTGTCACCTGGCTGCTTCCCGAGCAAATCATTTTAAGAACATATTTTTGTCTCATAGATAAGCCTTCACTTATACCTTTAAGGGGGGACACGGGTCTTGAAAGCGAAAAAATAGCGAAAAAAACGATTTTTCAATTTTGTTGTTGTTGCATTCAGGACATCTTCCTGCACGTTCTCGCAAAACTCTAGGCCTGTAAACAGTATAGTTTTCCCGGACGATCATATTTACTACGCGAACTTTCTAGTTTCGCTCGCGGTAAACGCCATAAAACGATCAGTTTCGCGCCGCCGCCGATTTGCAACCGTGCCACGGAGCGCAGCCATCTTGGCCTCCTTTGAAACTGCATCCTTCGCCCTTTTTTTTTCCGCCAAACGCGAGTTTTCAGTGATACGCTGTAACTGAATAATCAAACAAAAAAGAAAACGAAACCTAGCTATCTCATTGGCCCACAGCCGCCACGTGACAAAAGTGCGCCTCCTCATTGGTCCGTGGTTGTTTCCGGCTGCTTGCAGCGAAAACGAACTGCCGTCATTTTGAAGGAGACCATTGTCGTCTGTCGTCGTGCGCCATGCCTAACGGTTATCGGAAATTTCGCACCGCGCACAAGTTCGGCAAATCGCGACGGAAGCGTGTTGCGAAGCGAAGAAATGCATCGCTGCCTTCGACGGAGCCCGCTGTGCACCTTGGACCAACATCAGATAACACGACAACGGCGGAACGCGAGGCGGCGACTGACGCGCACGCCCTGGACTTCGCCCCGACGGTTGCGGCAGCGGCCGTGCAGGACACCGGAGCTGCGCGGCCTGAGCGCACAAGATTGGACTCGACTTTTTTAACAAGTGCAGATTGTGCTTTGCGCGAGCAACAAACGCAGCAGAGACTTTCCCAGCTAGCGTCAGTATCGGCGACGGAAAGGAAAATGAAGTGCGTCGCGAGTGACAGTGCCCCGAGTTCAACCACGGCGTATACGGTTGTTGACCTGGACCTTGTAAATAACCTGTTCGAGGTTGGTAGTTGCCGTGTGTGCCGTGGTGATCTAACTATTGAGAGGGACACGCGTGAGTACGGCATCGCCGTGAAACTGACAGTGTCGTGCAGCAATTGCGGTGAACTGCGATCGCAGTGGAGCTCGCGGCGAGTTGCTGGCTCGGCGACGTGCAATCCCTTCGAAATAAATATTCTCGCTGCACGGGCGGTGCAAAGCACGGGGAATGGGCAGACTGCCCTAAATGACATTTTTTCTGCCATTGGAGTTTCTCACAGAGGTCTTCACAATAAGACCTACCAGCATTATTTGAAGACCAAGCTGAACCCAGCTACGGCAAAAGCATGCTCTGAGAACTTGGCAAAGTGTGCTGCCGAAGTGAAACAGCTGTACAGTGACCTGAATTTTGGAAATCCGGGTAACATTGCTGTTTGTTTTGATGGCTCATGGCACACACGTGGACACTCTTCTCACATTGGTTTGGCCACCGTGATTGAGCTATTTACAGGATATGTGCTAGATTACGTGGTTCTCTCCAATTTCTGCCTCGGCTGTGAGTGTGGGCCGCAGCCAGATAGCCCAGATTATGCTGCATGGAAGGCACAGCACTTATGCCAAAAAAACACAAGCTGCAAGGCAGGCCAAATGGAAGTTGAGGCAGCAAAGATTCTGTTTCAACGTTCACTCTCTCTGCATGGCCTCAGATATACAACCATGCTCTGTGATGGTGATAGCCGCTCATTCATTGCCATTGATGAAGCCAAAGTTTATGGCTTTATTCCTGTGGTAAAAGAAGAGTGCACCAACCACATTCAGAAGCGAATGGGCACAGCGCTTCGCACCCTTGTGCAAAAGCACAAGTCAGGTGATGCGCAGCGCATTAGTGGTAAAGGACGGCTGACCGCAGACCTGATCACCAAGATCTCCAGCTATTATGGATGGGCTATCAAGTCTTTTGCTGGAGACTTAGATAAAATGCACAACGCAGTGTGGGCCACATTCTATCACATTACGTCGACAGATGAGAAGCCCAATCATAACTTCTGTCCGGATGGTCCTGACTCATGGTGTAAATATAACTCGGCCATGGCAAAAAACGAACCACCACCAAAAAGCAGGTACAACTTGCCAGAAGCGGTCAGCAGTGCACTGCGGCCCATTTTTGAGCGTCTGGCTGACAAGAAGTTGCTGCAGCGGTGCCTGAGAGGACAAACTCAGAACGCTAATGAGGCACTGCATTCAGTCATTTGGAGCCTCGCGCCCAAAGACAAAAATGCCTCACTATATGCAGTCGAGGCAGCAGTTGGAGAGGCTGTGATGAGGTTCAACCTTGGCACCCACAATGCCAGCTCAAGCATATTGCGAGAGCTCCAAGTAGAGCAAACCGCCAAGGGTAGCCGAAGGGCTAATGAAAAGGACTCCCAACGCACTATCAATGCAGAAAGGAAGAGGGGGTCATCAGCAGCCTTTCAGGCAGCTGCAAAGCGGAGGCAAAGAGGAAAGCCCCACCCAGATTATTCTCCAGGAGCCTTCTGAGCCACTGGCTGTTGTAATTTCGCCCATCCAGGAGAATAAAAGGCTTTTTTCACATGTCTATTAGTTTTTCCCACTTTTCTCAAAACACTTTTATTGGCCGTCTCCAATTTTCTGGGTGGCTGTTGTTACCCTTCTAATCATCCAATTTTAATGGGGTTTTTTTTGTCTTATCCTCCTGGCTTCCGGGTTGGATTTTGGTCCACGGAATTGCCTGAAACTTTCACAACTTGGTGTGTATATGACGAAGATAAAAAGTGAAGCTTATTATTTCCGTGATGCCTGTGCTTTTGGTATGGCGTGATGTCCAACTAATTGGACGCTGAAACTTAATTAAAGCGTTATGTAGTGGGCCTGAAGCAACACAAAGCAAGGCTACTGAAGAAAAGTGTGACAAATTCCGGAATAACTGCAAGTTGTTATTCAAAATTTAACAAATAATAAAAAACCAACAGAAAAGTGGACCTTAACTTTCGCCGTTTAACTTCTAGAAGATTGCCCTGTTGAACGCCACCATGTTTTCTTCTTTGTTTCGCGATCTCCTGGCGCAATTTCGACAAAACTTCATGGAGGGCGCCAGTAGATGTCCAAAATATTGGACAAGTGGTTTTTGAGGAAGAAAACATGCTGAGATCTTTGTAGTGATGGGGTATTTCATGTCCAATATTTTGGACAAATCCCCATAGCTGGAACTCAGGAGGATGTCTTATAGCTAGACTTCCAAAGAGTGCAATATGCCTATAATACAATGTTTCTTCACCCTGAAACATTTTGAAATTTTGGGCAAACAACAGACAAAGAATTCATGTCTCAATAAAAATTTTTGAACTTTTATAACTTGGGATAAAATAAATGTAGAAACACGAAATTATGCTTCTTGCACTCGTTGAGCATTCAGGAATATATAAATATAATTTTTAGCTTGGTTATTGTAAAATATTTTTTGCCAGTCATCCCAGAAGTGTAAAACAGAAAAAGTTGTATAAAATTTTTTCTTCGTGAGATACAGAAAAACTGGTTGCATATTTGAAATCAGCACATTAAATTACATATTACCTGCAAGTTTCATTACTCTAGTAGCAGTAGCAATAAATGTTTTGCCCAAGGCCCATGTCCCCCCTTAAAGTGTTTTTTCCCAAGATTCATTTTTGGGTGACTTATTGAGTTTGGACATATATTTTTGGTACTTCTGATACCCAAATCGGGATGAAATTTTTCTCACATATTCCTTAACATGTGAAGAGCGCAAGTATCTCCTTTAAAACTTGACATTGTCTATATAATTATTACAAAGCTAAAGCAAGCAATTAGTATAGATTTAGCATTCCAAGTTTTCCACATTGCAATATTTCTTGTTAATTAAAACTGTATGCACTTTCCTGTTATTTACATTCTACATGTAATGGGGTAGTATATGAGCCTTTAATGGCTCATAACCATAAATGTTTAGGGCAGAAAAAGTTTGTAAAAAAAAACTGCATTTTACACATTGTCATGGTAGAAAACAAATACTGTAAAGCCTATATATACAGCAAAAATTTCATTGCCCTAGCCTACAGATTAAAGAAACTTATTTTTCAGGTAGCATCTCTCTTTAACAATACATATGCTTGGCAGGGCCAGATAACACGACCGAATTATCCAATTTACCCTATTCAATAGGGCCAAATCAACAAACTTTTGCTGTATTATGCTTTTTATTTTGTCTAGTAATTCCTAATTTATGTCTTCAGCTACTCAGACTGTATTATGCTATTGAGAAGGAAGAGTTGAGCTATCACAGCAGTGGCATTTCCCAGCATTTGTATAGATACTATTTCTGTTTTGTTGTGCGAAACCATCATGACGGCTATATGTGTTGAAAATGTCAATTTCTTTTAATTGACTAACTGATACTGAGCATGGAGGGCTTTACATCACCTTATTACTTAATTGGGTATTTTATTTTCAGGTGTTTGGGGCACTCTTGCGTGGCTGCACCCAGAAGCTTGAGGTGCTGAACCTATCTCGAAATATGTACAGCGCAAAGAAATGTAAAGAGGTGCTTGTGCCACCTTCATTCAAGACATTCTTTTCAAGCACTGTTGCACTACGTCACCTCAACATGGCGAATGTGCGCATGCCTATGGAGGCACTCAAGTGAGTAAATGTTTGTAGACATGGTTGCTTGTGTTTTCTTTCTTTGCTTGGAAGGTAATGAAAATGATCATGTGCAATTTGGTTCCTCTTTGACAGTGTACTACCAGGCTGTAGAGTTTTGCACTGCGTGGGTGGAACAGAAGGGACACATACGAAGGCACGAAAAAGCACAACCAGAATGGGTTGCGCTCACCTGTTCTGTTTGTATTTTTCTCTACCTTCGTATGTGTCCCTTCGGTTCTACCCATGCAGCGCAAAACTCCACAATCTATGTTCATCTAGTAGCAATTAGCTCAGAGGAGTGCTTTATTGAAGCGCACTGTGAATTTCTTTTTTAGCGTGCTAAACTAAAGTGTCATGGCCTGTCATTCTCCCTGTGAGGTGAACCGACTAAATTTAAATAAATTGATCTTATAGATTCATTTGGTTTATCACAGCTGTGCTAAAAAGAAAATTATTGAGGCTTGGTTTTATGATTTGTTTTCTCTTGCTTTCCCTTTCAGCTTTCAAGGCATTTTTCAACACCTTTGTAGGTGCTAGAAAAAAGTTTTAGAATTCATTAAGTATAAATGGTGCAATAGACAATACAGGTGGTGGGGGCGGGGGGAGAGGCCAACACATTGTGCACCACTTGAAGTTTTGTAGCTGTATATCAAGGCCTTGAGAATTATTATTATTATTATTATTATTATTATTATTATTATTATTATTATTATTATTATTATTATTATTTTTCATTCCTTGAATGTCTGGAGAATCCCGATGGAGGCGGAAATGTTGTAGGCCCGTGTGCTCAGATTTGGGTGCACGTTAAAGAACCCCAGGTGGTCTAAATTTCCGGAGCCCTCCATTACGGCGTCTCTCATAATCATATAGTGGTTTTGGGACGTTAAACCCCACATATCAATCAATCAAATCATGAATGTCTGGAGAACAAGTGCTGGGGTTCTTCCAAACATGCAGTGAAAAATAATGAGAATGACAAGAAACACACTACATGAGTGGCAATGAAATGAGGAAAAAGTAGCTTGTAAATATCATTACCAAGAAGGCTCTGAGGGGGACACACTGTATAATTAAAAGAAAAGTTTTTTTTGATTGGTTTTAACATATCCTGCAGAGTTTATGTAAGTGTATGGTTATTTAAGATTTTTAATTATTTTTTATTGTTCTGTGTGCAGTTTTTAAAATTCATTCATGTGCCACTTTTGGAGCCAGATTTTTACTAAATTGATAGTTACAAAGTTAATCAGCATATTACAATGATCTGGAATAACAACTGCATGCAGTAGAACAAGAATGGGTTTCCCTAGCACATCTGTTTGAAAGTTACCGCACGTTGAGCATTCGCGAGTCATTTAATGTCAAGCTGGGATTTTGCTCATTAATGTTTAGCATGCCATAACTTTTGTTCAAATGGGGCTAAGAATATCCATTCTTTTAAAATATACCTTCTTTGTTCCAAAGTTTGGGGGAAAAAACACACATAGAGTAAGAGCTAACACTGCTTTAGTGATGTTGCATTTTTAGCAGGAATTTCGACATGGCCTAGAACAGCTCTTAGCAGCCCTGTTTTACTTAGTTTCTTAACCAACTGATTGGTTGGGGCCACATGCCAATTCCAGGGGTTCGATGCAGCCAGCACTGGTTCCCCATTGGAGACTACTTCTGGTTCAGATGTGTATGTCACCAGCTACCTACATGATCTAGCACAGGTCTTCCTGCGTCTTGTCATTAATGAAATTAACTGTTACCTGTTACTCGTATTTGCCATGTAGTTAGCAAAAACATTGCAAAGGATAGAGTGATTGATTTTTTACATTATTTGATATGAAGTTGTGTCTTCTCAACTGATGCATGCAGTGCTATATTATTTGGCTCTCATGTTCTCGGGAGTTTTCACTAACATATCAGCAGTTTTTTTCTCGGCTGTGTTAAAAAAATGTTGCAGTGCCAGTATAATAGTAATCTGCTTGTTGCTATTTTTTTTAATCATAGGGCTATGCTTCTTGGCTTGGCTTGTAATGAGATCCTCACTGAAGTGTGGCTTGACCTGAGTTGCAACGACCTGAAAACTCAAGGTGCGCTGGTACTCGAGTCCTGTCTACCAGGGATCCGCTGCCTTTACAGCCTGGACATCAGTGAAAACAGTCAGTATCAATAAGAGAGTGCATATTATAGCCACTTCAATCCTGCAGTGTACTGTTCATGGATGGAACGTTCAGTCATTTTGAATGTGCTAGTTAGGGCTGGTGCACTGCAAATTTATGCTACGCAAGACTTCCTTGCCCTTTGGTTCCATGGTCTGTTGGTTTATATAATCCCTAAAGCATATTCAGTAATTACATTTGAAAAGGCCTGGTAATAAGAAAGCGGCCACTATAGTTGCAGTAATCCCACTCCTGCGCCAACTGCTCCAAAGTGCGCCAAATCAGATTTACTGCATCATCCTGATGATGTCAACAAAAATCGTGTCAAACTGCACCATAGTTGGATTTGGGAGCGTTCATCGCCAGCATTAGCCACGTCAGTGCGCCAGAACATGTGCAGCTTGTTCTCAGGGCCACCAAACTCAGAGCCACAGGCCCAGAATTATCCAGCTAAATAAAGAGCGGTCGCATGTGCATCCCTAGTAATAAGCCATGCTATGCTTTGTGCAGATGCAACATTTGTTGTGCAAGTCCGCTCAACGGCAAGACATGCCCTCCACAGCTAGAGGCTCATGATGTCTATTGCAATAGGTAGCATGTAACTGTGGCAGCAATTCTTCGGCAGATGGCGTCCATTCCAGAACCACTGCTGATATCTCACTTAAAGAGCTGCACTGCACATAATATAAAGCAATTTTCACTAATACCTGCATGCATGCTACTGGAATGTCTGTGGCATCAATTTTTGTACATCGCGACCTAATTTTGTGTTCTTCGTGTCCACAGAACAACACGTAAATGTGTCCACAGAACAACACGTAATTTGTGGGGGCGTGTTGACACTTTTCTTCAGATATACTTTATTCATGAATCTTCATCCTGAAGATTTTTTTTGTTATTTCATTCATCAACACATCTGCATGTGTAATCGCTCTTGTGATAAATGCCCCTAAAAAACTTTGCCCTTTGGAGCTCGTGAGTGCTAGGTCTGAATTCAAATGTTTTGCATGTTTTCTTTAATATTATCTGATCAATAAAAGCATGCCTCCTGGTCAGAGCAGCTGCAATTCAGTTTTAATACACGCAGCTTTCAGTAATGGGCCCATCGCTGACGACTCAGGGGTTGAAGGCCCACTGTGAAGTGGCTACGCCATTCTACGCGTCCGCCCCTCTCTTTCCAGGGTCAATAGCCGATGATTAAAAAAACAAAAACATGATGTTGTGGGATGCCGGGTCGATGAAGGATGGATCCCAACATGAAATGTAACGATCTTTTATTAAGGTGATGGCAGTAGCGGGGCAAGCATGCCACCGCTGCACTCTCATGGTTAGAGAAACAATCATTAAAACCAGCTTAGTAGCTTGGTTCATATAACTACCAGTGGTGACGCAAGCCTCCGGCAAAACGGCAGTGGCGCTGTCACACCGGGCTATCTAGCGACGAGACTGAGGCTGTGCAGGATTGTGCGCTGTGGTCGCCACATCACCCCCACCCCGCGGAGTGCAGAGCCCTCAGGGTCTGTTCAGAGTGTGTTGTGGAAGGAGCGGGCTGCGAGGTTGGCGGCTCGAAATACGCTATTGGAAGGAGTGGCTAAAGAGTGCTAAACTTTCTTCGGGAGGTCGAGGCTGCGAGTGGCGCCGAGGGTGGACAGCCATCCTGCGCGAACAGGGCGAGCCGGTGCACGTGATACGTGGAGATACAATTGTTGCCTTTACCTTGGTGTTAAACCGGTGTCGTCCGACATGAGATGGCTGATCTGCTCTCGCAGGCCAGTGACATCACTGTGATCTGAAAGAATGGGTGGCTAGGACGAAAGGGACATGGCACTCGCGTTTGTGTTCCAGTGGCACGTCACTTGCCAGTCAAGCACGAACACAGATGCAACGGCGCAAGCAGCGTCTCAGCTGGCGTCTCCCACAGAAGCATATGAACTTCGAAGCACGGCAGCGTCAGCGCTGGGACAGGGAAGTGAATGGGAGTGTGAAAGATGCGCTGCACGAGTCATCACCGGCTGGCAGGAGCATGCACACTGTAGGCATCGAGAATGCTCAAGTGGCATGGTGACGTCCGATGACAGAGCTGTTTCGTCACATGACTGATAGGGATCAGTAGCTTCGGCGAATTCTTGAACGGCTGCTGGTGTTGGTACATCACATAATGATGCCGATGCTACTTCTCTGAGTTGCACGGGTAGATGGACGCTTGCAACGGCATTAGCACGTGTAATAGACAAAGCTGTCAGCGTAAGACGAGACTCATTCGTGTCATGTGATGTGTCCGGCATCGTCTTCTGAGCTGCCTCGAAAACGATTTCTTGCCTCAAAATGATGTCTTGCGACGACTGCATAGCTATCTGTGAATTGGTCGATGCTGTATCGCCTAAACTCGGTGGAATTGGACTTGTCTTGTTGGGGCTGCATGATTGTGATAGTGGGTTTGGCAGGAGAAGCTGTAGGCGTGAGGCAACATTCATTCGTGGCACTTGACGTGCTTAGTGTTGTCTTGGGTACGTAGTCGGAAACCATGTGATGCAATGTCTGTGTGGTCCCCTGTGAACTGGTTGATGTCGCAGAGTCATAACATGGTGGAGCCGGACAACTTGAGTTCGCTTGTTTCGGCAGCGTGGTAGTGACGGCCTGAGGTTCGAAGCTAACGTTGCGCATGGCAGGTAGTAAGTGACGTGGCACTGCCGGTTCAGGTAGGGCTAACACGAAACCTCAAAGTCGGTTGTATGTCTGTGATACCGGAGAAGGCACAACGGATTGCTGAGGAAAAGGAAACATGTCTACCGTGATGGCGTACCTTTCCTGCTGCGAGACGATGTTGCACAGCTAGAAACTAACCTCGATGTAGAGGAGCCAGGTGGCTGGGCTTCCGACCAAAATTTAGGAAATTCTGACGGTAAAAGAATGCAGAGCACCGTGGCCATCATATCTGGTCGTGGCGCCAGGGTGATAGGGCGGTTTGTTTGGTTTCCGGGTCACCTGTTGCTGAGCCTGCAGTTGCTGTTGGAGCTGTTGCCTTTGCTGGGGCAAAACGGTGAGGACTTCTCAGCCGGCCATGGTGGTGTTGTTTGTTCGCTTTCTGGGTTACCAGATGTGGGAATGCTGGGTCGTTCAAGGAGAGATCCGAACATAGAACCTAACAATTGTTTATTAACCTGATAGTAGCAGCGGGGCAAGCATGCCGCCGCTGCGCTCGAAAGGTTAGAGAAACAATCATTAAACCGAGCTTGGTAGCTTGGGCTATATAGCCACCAGTGGTGATGTAAGCCTCCGGCGAAACTGCGGTGGTGCTGTCCTTTATCGGAATTGTGTTGCAGCAAGTGGCCGTGCTACGCCGGGCTATCTAGTGACGAGACGGAGCCTGCTCAGGTTTGTGCGCAGTGGTCTCCACAATGGTATCACATTCGTTGGTTCATTTTGAGGGGTGGGAGGCTGCAATGCTAGAAGAGCACAGTCGCTGGTGCTCTTCTATCCTGAGGAATCATTGCACTGCTTGTAAGCATTTTGTGTTATTAACGTCTGCGTTGCATTTAGATAACTGACAGTACGAAAACCACTTCGGCATCTGGAGTGGTCATAGTCCCTTTAACCAGCGTTCTGTTGATTTATGTGATGCTGGGTCCAAAAGATACAATTTGTTAGTTTCACTTAAGCTTTTAGCAATGAATGCGATACTAACAAATGGTATGCTGTTACACCAAGTAAGGCTTCACATTATCTGTGAGGTGCATTAGCGGATTTGCCGTTTCGAAAGTCCGCGCACTCGCCGTACGTACGTGCTGTCTTCGATATCCGTACTGTGACTTGTACGACTGGAGACCCTTGGAAGACCTTTTGGACGCCAATCTATGTACCATACAAATGGCACATGTGAATGGACCATCAAAATGGTGCGACAATGGTGTAGCCGATTTTCAATCAAGGCTCAGTGCATAACCCCTATATGCCCGCTCCAGAAAGTGAAGCTATTTTCATACAGTCTGTTTGTGTTAAGAGTGCAACAAATAGAAGAGTATACGAGCCGTCTGTAATGCCTGCCAAAATAGAAATAGCGAGCGCACCAGTGATCGCACCTTTAAAGTCAAAGTTCACAGTTGCTGCTTTAAGGCCACAACACTTTCCCTGCCCCCCCCCCCCCCCCCCCCCCCCTTTGTGTTCGTGCATCTTGAAAATGGGCGGCGCGTTCCTCTCTGGTTGAGTAGCAAGTGATAGCAGGTCCGGTACGCGGGGTGATGTTATTGCATTGGCACTCTGTGCAGCAGAGATAGGTTGGCTCTTTTTATCTCTGCTACAGCCGCTTTCGACACACTCACTCAAGCTCTTTTACCCGGGTGTAAAACATATGATGTGCGAGGGGATGTTATTGATTTGGACATCACACAAAACTTGACAGTGACAGCTAAAGTCGGTCAAGAAAACCCACATATTTGCTATCACAATAAAAAGAAAATGGATTTCACCTTTGAGTCATCTTAGGTGTATGCATAAGGTGCTCTGTGAAGGTTTTTTGTCCCCATCTCTTTCTGCACAGCTTTCTAGAGGACACTAGGGGGTTTTTGGTGTTGAGACAGAACACCCTAGTTGTATGAAACTTTGCTGCAAAAGAAAAAAATGAAGTTTGTTAAATTATGTAGTTTCAGCGCAGAGAGATGGGAGTGTTGAAGGAGGTTGTCTTTACGAGGCTAGCCAAGTGACATCATGTTACACCCAGCAATATAATCAGTTGTGAAGAAAAAAGTCACAGCTTTGCTGCAAAGGCGAAGCAATAAACGTGATAGCTACAAATTCGAAGGTCACGCGCACAATGGCAAGCAGATTGAAACGTGTCCCACGTTTCTCATGCATAAATGACGCACGAAACGTACTCGCAGGTATAGGTGAACGCGAATAAGCGTCTCGGTTGTTACTTCGCTATGTCTGAAATGCGCGCCCTTTTTGCAAGCGGAGACTGTACAACGATTTCAGTGACCTTTGTGCGCCCGGTAACTACAACAGAATTGTTCCGATGAAAGCCCAAGGTCAGCCAAGATGTACGATCCTCCCCACCGCGAGATAAGGGCGCACGAGTGAACGTCCATCCCCATCCTCTCTGCGCGGTAAAATACGTGTGGGAGATGAGAGTGTGTGCCGCCGCTTCGGGACGATGTGACTTGATGCTCTCATTCGACTCCGCTGCACGCTCGAGGCACTCTAATGCAGCGTCTCCAGAATACAATTCCCCAATTTTCTTGTGCAGAACATCAAATAAATGTTTTGTTCACTCTCTCCACACGCAAGACTATCGTCTTTCGACGAAATTTGCAGATTAACATGCAGATACGGGGCCAATTTTTTCTTTCTTGTGTGTTCATATATATAGATACATATGCATATCTGGTGAATGACGGTGGCGACAGCAAAAAAACAGCCTATACTGTCCTTATAATTGCTATCGTAATAAAAAGGGGCCAGACGCGTTTTGGCATTCCTGTAAAAATAATCTAGTAGTGAGCAAAGCTGTGACCCGCACTTATGCGGCAGCCAGCTGCACCGTGCCGTCCGTTCACGTGTGTACCAGGAAGACATACACGAGTTGTTTTGACGTAAATCGATTCTGTTAGTTGTACCAGGAAGACATACACGAGTTGTTTTGACGTAAATAGATTCTGTTAGTTGTGTTGATCGTTTGAGATTCTCACCTTAGTGGGAAGCCCTACCCTCGTGTGTTTGCCCACTCCAAGCCACTATAAGACCGCAACGCTGATGTTGGCGCTTGCGATTGAGGCTCCCCCCCCCCCCCCCCATCCACTCTTGTTTTTCATGATGTTTTTTTAGTTTGTTTGTCCTTGAGTTTTTTTTTGGGGGGGGGGGGGCAAGAAAAAAAAATAGGGGCAAATAATTTAATGCACCTCTCCCCCCCTCCCCCCATTGCAAAAATTTCCCGGATTCAAAATTCTTGAACTTGGCAGGCATGCTAGTAACAGCAGAGCGAAAGTAGCAGGAGCCACAGCAGCAACTACAGCCATTATGCGGAAAATCTCGTAATCCTCCTCGCGAAAGTGCAGCGAGCACACACAAGGAGTTCTTGTTTTGCACACTGGCGCAAAGGCATGGCACTCGGCCACTTCAAGCAAAGGGATTCGTTTTGTGGCATCTAGTGGAAAGTCACGTTGGTTTCTTAGCTGCAGCTCAAGCAGCGTACACCACTCGGGCGTCCAGTAAAATCTCATGCACGTAGCATAAACTACCCGAAACGGGACCACATGAGTGAACTGCAGTTTGGCAAACAGAACTTTTTAACCACTCGCACTGTTCCTTTGGTGACACCAAGCGGCTCTTTTTTTCTTGGATGAAAAAGAAACGGACAAGCAGCATTTTATTACGTGTTGTAATGTACATAAGGTGTTTTTTCTCTCTCTCTCTTTATTTCTGCAAATGGTTTGATTAGTCGTGATTAATTGTACTTGGGACTCTTGACATCATCGGGATCATTCCAAAATATCCCACTCGTGATGCACATGGTCTGATACATTTATCTTAATTTCTCAATTATTAGAGTGCACGGCTGTTTATAATATTGACGTTTTAGGTATTCCCAAACATTAATATTTTGCTCTATCATGAATTGTTATTTGGTTTTAGGGGAATATGAAAATTTTCATAGAAAAACATGAGTGTAAGCTGAACACTATACAGTTCTCATGAGATGAATAACATGACTTGCCTGTTCCATACGTCATGAAACTCTCACAGTCACATGTGGCGCATACACGAATATCATGTCCTATGGTATGCAGGTATGAACAGCAAGAACTTTACAACTTTACAAGACACTTCACGTGATTTATTAGAGAAAGCATACCATTTCTTTTAGTTGTCAATTTCATTGTAACAGATAAACGCATAAAAACTACATATAGGAATAATTTGCCGCCAAACACGCGATGTGTGTCCTGAAAACACCGGTTGCCCAACACCAGTTTTTGTGGATATGCGTGTATAATCTCAATTGTGGTTGTAGTGCTAGCAATTCTACTTAACTTACTGTAATAAGCATTGTATGTGCACTGGTATAATTCAATATAGCGATAGTCTAGCATTGGTCATCCTCACATAAATACGTCAATAAAAGCTGCTTGCACTTTATTTTGTTAAGTAACGTCCTTGTTCTAATGTGCTGGCAGTATTACATTGGAGAGTGACCTACCCATTACTTGCCAGTGTAGGCAACGTGCCCACGATATGCACATGATGTGCACACAACTACTCAAATTAGACAAACTTGTTGATCCACTTCATAAAGCTTGCTCAAAGCTGCAAAATGCGCCATAAGCACCTGCTGGTTCATTGTTTCACATGAAATTGATTCCCACAATGTGTAGAATCTGCTAAGGTTTTGGAAGTGTCAATCATAGATGGAAGAGCTGCCCTTCCAATTAGGAGTGCCACTCGTGACGGTGAACAGCGGCCTCATAAATGTTGTAAATCAAAAATTTCTTCAGAACAAGTGCACATTATAATAATAGTATATTACAAGTAGAGCCGGAAAGCTAACATAATATAGTCACCATCCTTGATTTCTCGTTTTTCCTGCCTTAACTGGCAGCACTCATTTCAGTTTTAATTGTAAATGGACTCCTTAACATCAGATTTCAAATTTACATAAAATAGACAGGCTACAATTGTGTAAATATGGTACATCTTTGCTCATGGATTGTTGTCTATTTTAGAATTTTTTTTCAATGAATATATAGTATACATGCTGCATAGTCTTGCAGTTGTATAGATATTGACTCTTTGTCTACTTTGTCTTTTTTCTTCTTCAGATTTTGACCAAGATTTGGCCAACATTGTGGCAGCTGTTGGAAAAAATCAGTCCATCAAACGGCTTTCAATAGGGAGGAACTTCACAAACATGAAGACAAAGTAAGAGTGGCATTGCTTCTCAGCTGTCATTTTCCAGCCTTCTTAGTTGTAATTCCTGTAACTCCTTTGCAGTATCTATGGAAGGTATCTATAGCATCTGTCGGTCATTATTGAAAATTTTTCCAGCTTATATTTGTCTTAGGCACAGTGGTAGGTATTAGTAAATAAACAAGGCGACCAATTATCATGTTATCCTTTAGCCCTGTTCAATTTGGCAGAAAGTGATTTGGTTTTCCATAATTTGCTGAGTAGTGCTCAGTATTTCTTAAACATGCATATAATATTCAAAGTAGGAAATGGTAGTGAAATCAAGGTTGATCCCTCATAGAGTATCTTATGCACATAGCATCAACCATGGCATTAGCAGCAGGCTTGTTTAGGCTGGCTGCTGCATCTTGGTTAATAAGAAACTTTACAGTAAAGTAAACAATGCAAGAAAGAACTAAAAAAATACAGCACTCCTTAAAGAACACTTTCAGGATAGCACTCTTCTGTCCCTGGGGTTTGTTTCTGCGTGCTTTCACATATTCTTAATATTCCTTCTTACTATGATGTTGCATTTTAAAAACATGAATCCAATGTTGTCATATCTGGGGTCTCGTGAGAGAGAGCGCCACCAGGCTCTTGGAGTGAACGGGCACAGCAGACACGGTCGGAACAAACCAAACAACACATTTATTTAACTAACGACGATATCGTCCGCCGAATCGATACATAAATCGTGATCAACCCGCTAAGACATCCTTACACAATATTACTCAGCACGTAGCAACATAACAAACACAAGAGCTCACAAAACGCGGCTTCGCCAACGCTTGACTCACCTGGCCCACGCGGTGAGTCAAGCGTTGGCGAAGCCGCGTTGTTCCCAGTGCACGGTCCGCGGTGCCGTGCACTGAGAACATGCCGCGAGAGCAACCGTTCACGCCAAACGCCACCAGCCGAAAAGCCGCTTCATTCTCTCGCTCGCCACCAAGGCTTGCCTTCCGCCAGGGGTCACCGCCGGTGCTATCGCTCCACCAACCATGATGATGATAGTGGTGATCACCGCTCGCAAACACGCCACCTATCGCTCAATAGTTGTCACTCCCGAAATACGGCTTCTGTGCAAGACACATGTGCCAAGCGGCGCAAACTACTTTACAGGGGGTGTCAGCACCTTCACAGATTGGTTATGTGAAAATTTTCTAATAGGATATGGCCCTCAGTTTCTGTTGGTTGTCCCCAAACTAACACATTTGCCATTAATGCATTGTTACTTGATCTAGCATTCACTGTGACCAGGAAAGAACCTTATGATTGCTTGGCAGTTTTTGCATAACTGTCGTGCACAAATACCCTATAGAATCTAATAAGGGCCACACCCCTGTAACTTGGCTGTGAAGACACACTTGGCACAGCTGCGGAATAGAAGGCTCTCCATGGTATTGGCAAGGAAGAAGAGACAATGACACTCATCCAATAATGCTGAGTGGCATACTTGCCAAGTCTCCCGGATTGTCTGGGAGACTCTCGGATTTTTACCGTTTCTTCCGTTTGTATGGTTGTGATGAAAATCTCTGGAGAATCGAAATTTCTGTGCATATCTGGCTGCATTGACATCAGTGCAGTTCAGTCCGCTCCAGGCTTTTGGTGAACCCATCGCATTTTATTATAAACGAATTTAGGAGGCATTAATCGAAATGTACAGAAGTTTCAGGGATGCGCAACCGCGGCAGATACGAATTCGTTGTGAGGTTCCCCAGCCAAATTTCACTGTGTCCATTCAAAAATTCAAATGTTCCGAAACTTTTCCTAATTGCGGCGTGTGATATGAACTTTAGTACCGAAACCATTGAACGAAGGCCGATCGGGAGCCGTGTGCTCGTAGCTACAGAAAAACGTGTGCGACCAGCGCACGCACTGTCTTCTACAGTTCGAGTGGTTGTTGCCACAATTGCTGTGGATGGAACCATGGCCATTCTTGACACGATAATGTATGGCAACGACGTTACTGATAGAACTCGGAAAGTGTGCGCACATCTGACGCTCGACCAGTCAAAGCAAAGCTTCTTTCCGCAAACTCTGTAGACAAGACCGCGGCATAGTCGACCGTAGATAGCCTGAAATGACTTAGTTTTGAAGGCACGTGCTCAGCAACACACGTGGATTGAACGGAATTACAGTCATTGTGCAGCCGCCGCACACAAAACCGCGGTCGCGGCAGCGCAATAGCGATCTACGAGCTCTGGCGGCACGTGGCTAACGCAGCGGTAGATTAAAGGCAGTAAAGATCTTAAAAAAGAAAAAGACTAGAAGCGTTTTGGCATTCCTATTCAAAAAATCTAGTAGCGAGCAAAGAAAACTAAAGCTTTGACCTACACTTTCGCGGCAGCCAGCTGCACCGTCCCGTCCGTTCACTTGTGACACAGGAAGACATACGCGAGTTGTTTTGACGGAAATAGATTTTGCTTGTTGTTTTCATGACGTGAAATTTCGGGAGTATTTGTGCTCCCCCTTTGAGACTCTCCCTTAGTGGGAAACCTACCTCATGTGTTTGGCCACTCCAGGCCATCATAAGACCGCAATGCCGATGTTGCCGTTTGCGATTGGAAACCCCCTCCCCCCCTTGCTTTTGTGCAATGTTTTCTTTTGGGGCCAATAAAATGGGGGAAAATAATTGAAACAACTAAGTGCATCGACCCCCCTCCCCATCTCTGTTTGCGAAAATCTCCCGGATTCAGAATTCTTGAACTTGGCAAGTATGGAGTGGCAGTGATCCGCCTTATAAAGTTACAAGCAGTTCTTCTGTAGCCACACAGAAACAGACATGAAATAGCAGTAGCATTTGTGTTAAGAACAGGCTCGGTAAATGTGAGAGATACTACTCCCAGTTCAGCAGAAGACTTGTAATTGTACTTGCTGTCAAGCATTTTTATCAGTATACTGCTGGTTGTCATGTTCTTGTGGTAATCAATCATAAGCTGCTTCTCAGAGTAATGTGCTCTAGGGAGTAAATTCAGCAGGTTTTTTTTTACTACAGGTGCTTCAATGTTGCTTGATTTTTAGCATTTATGGTCACAATCATAACTAGCAGCATCAGGTGATATGTTGTTTATTAGAAGGTTGATATTGCTTTCATTAACACCACAAAAAGGGTGACATTGTAAAAGCTTGCCTATCTAGAAAGCCTAAACTACACAAGTACCAAGGAAACCATCATACAGTTGAGTAGTACAGAGCCTTACAGAAACAGCTAGTCTGCCTCCTTACTGTTTTTTACATAGGGTTAGAGATGACCAGTGCTGCAAGATTTGTTGTGACAGAATATCGTTCTGGTCAGCTGCTAAAAATGGAAATCAGACTTCAGGGTTGCACTTCACTCCAGCAACCTTCATTTGCATCTAGCCTGGGAGAAGGCAGTCTCACTCTATGGACATGGCCATGAGAAGGCTTAGAAGTCGTAGGCTCCATGAACATTAATGTATCTTTCAACAACAAAGAAAATTTTCTGGCTGGTACTAATAAGGTTCACGGCTCTCCCTCCAGCTCATGGCTCGAGGAGTTGGAGCCAGCTTGTTAGGAAATATTGGTTAAAAAAAACTGGGAATTTTTTTTACTAGTCTGAGCAGTTGCATAGAAAAAATTAAAGATGTATTAGCTGAGTTGTTTGCTGCATTAATTGAAACTCATATTGCAAATTCAGAGCCACGTGTACACATTAACTTGCTGAAGATCCAGCAGGTGCCATTTAAATTGTGTGATAATATATATAAAAAAACTCAACAAACTTGAGGCACGAGCCATTATATAGAACAGTCATTTTCAGCCTCAACTGTGCCATGCCAGTGGTCATGGTATAGAGGAATGGATCCTTGTGATTGTGTGGAAATTACAGGATCATATTAAATGGAAGCATTAAACTAATGGTGTACTATCTCTACCTGTAGCACCGGACTTGCTTGAAATATCGAGGAGGTCAGATCTTTTCAAATATATACTTATCAACAGCTTGATGTATGCTCTGCTCTCTGAAGTGCCCAGTGTTTGGGCATTCTGAAATTTTAATCCTACGAAGAATCAATGAACAGACCAGCTGCAGCCCAAAACAGGCTGTATGTTACAGAGACACTATGGTGGGGTTCTGAAAGCACCATAGTGACTAGGCACTTGCACTTGTCAACATGGAATTGATTTAGACTTGCAAGGGTTCTGTAAAAGGGCAAAGTATCGGTGTCTGGACAAGCAAGTGAAAACAAGAGTGAAGTGCCGCATCTGAAGACTCTGAGCTCGAGACCATGCAGCTGGCATCCTACAGTGCAACAAAAAACTCTTTGTGACGCTGACATAGTCGAAGTTACAAGATATAGTATTCCAACTGATTAATTCCAAGTCATTATTTAGATCTTCGGAGAAGTGATCTCCAACACCATGGGTGGTATTAATGACTACTTAGTCCACGAATGGGCTTTTGAGCCTAGATCAAGCAGCAGTGGCAATTGTAGCAAAAAAGAGTTGTCAATTATTGCATACCTGATTGACTGGGTTAATTAATTATCAAAAGGATAGTGCCACTGCTGTTGTGGTGTACGGTCATAAAATAATGTAGAAGATTATTATGTATTTCATTCATGAATTTACAAAATTTGATGAAATGGCTTAATCCTGTATAAGAGCTGTACCTCGTCAAGGTAGTGAGGAAAAAAAAAAACTTGCCCTTACACGAATCCACACAGTATAACTTGCATGGCTCGTGCACCATGTTTAATAAGGGCATCATTTCATCAGAGGGACATGGACCACTGTCGCAGCACCGAATATTGCAATGTACAACACAATGGAAACAAGACCTTTTATTCTGGTCACAACTTGTCATTTAAACATGCTGACTAGCTCTCTCGGTTACTTGTAGTGTCGAACTTGTTATCTCTCTTTAGCACAAAAATTATATATTTTTCTTTTTGTTGCATGTATACCTGTTACAAAAAAAGGAAAGACTATTATGCATTGCCAACATCAACTTACTCCTTCTTTTGTTTAGATATTCATTGCTGTTGGAAAGTGAGGAAGACCTTGGATATAGTCTGCATTCTTTCTTTTTTTTTTTCTCTTTCAGGCACATAACTCGTGTGATGGAAGCAGTTGTGCAGCTTATTCAAGAAAAGGACTCCTCTCTTGAATATATTTCATTAGCAGATTCAAAGCTTCGTGGGGAACTATGTCTTGTTATTAATGCACTTGGTAGTAATCAGTGCCTCACGTCAATCGATATCACGTGAGTTTTCTTCTCTCTTTCTTATATTTATCATGTTTGCATCCTTCGTGAGAAGCACGAGTTCCACTTATTATGATGGAGCCACATGCATATAAAATTAGTTTTTAGTTTTCTTGATGCAATGAGTTTTTCCCATTATTCAAAATGCTTCGCATGAATCCACAGTGTGTGACAGTTTTGCTGTTTGCTTATGTGTATTTGTTCTTTCTAGTGGCAACTACATGGGCCTGAATGGTGCAAAGACCCTTGCAAAGGCCCTGCAAATCAACTCTAAGCTGAAAAGCATTCTTTGGGATAGGAATTCTACACCTGCTCAAGGTTTTCAAGATATTGCATATGCACTTGAGAAGTGAGTACTCCTTGTTGTTTCTGTTGTTTCTCTCTCGCCTTGTTGTCAGTTTAGCTATAGTACTACCACCTGAAAGAACAACTTGTGACAATTTGTGTTTGAGCTTTCAGAGTGAGATTTTATGCCTTGTAATAGTATAGCTATAAATGTGGGGAAATCAAATATACATTACTCTATAGACCCAGAAGGTGAATATAGGGGTATTCTAAGAGTGGTACATTGACTTAATACTTATTGTGGATATGCAGCACATATTTCATGCCAGAAGAGATCCTTGATTTTAAGAGACGCTCACTTTTAAAGTGGTTTTGTTCTCCTAGCATTGCACATTGATGTAATACTTATTATTAATATGCAGCACAGATTTCAGTGCAGTAAAGATGCTTGATGAATGATTTTCGATATTGAGCAGTCAACAAAGCACTACTAATACATGTTAACGAATGCAGTTAAATGGGAGGGCACAGGCAGCAAAATATCCTGACTGCTCATGTTGCGGTCAAACGATACTGTTTTAATTACGGCAACCATTATGTGTAAGTTTTTGAGGCTGGTGATTGTTACTAAAAAAAATATGTTCACTCAAATGCGAATTTCTGCACCACACAGCATAATTTCTGTAGATATATTTCTATTGAAAATCAAATAGGTATGCATATGTAGCATTTTATGTTGTCTTTCAGTGTGATATAAAAGATCTTTTAATTTTGAATGGTTGTCAACAAGGGCCAGTACTAGGATGTCCCGCTGTAGCTGCATTTCATGTCCTACATTTACTTTAATATGTCTTTTAGTACTAATGTGGTGCTGTTCATAATACTGATGCTTTAGACATTCTCAAGAATTCTTCTAATAGCGCAGCCTTAATTGCTATTCACCTTTAGTGTCCCTTCAAAATTTATCGGCACCATAAGCAATGTTAAACAGGGACTTCACAAACTGACCTCATCTTTACTTCGCATTTTACTTATCGATTTTGGGCCTTTAGTGCATTTGATAAACGAAGCCAGCCAGTGTTCACAAACCAATCTTATAGTTATCTTGCACCTTGTTACGATTTTTGTGCCATAATAGTGCGCATAGTGTGTATAGAAACATAAGGAAAACATGATATATAAATAAGGTTGGTTGGTGAATATGGACCTAAATTGGGAATATCATCCAAGGACTAACTCTGAAGGTTAGGATCAAATTTCTGCTGTGTGCCGTGGCAGTATTCAGTGATTGAACCTTGAAAGTCCTCCAGGATGCAATAAGGGACTGCTCTTAGAGGTTTTCTTACTGCATAGTATGAAAAAAGCATTTGCTTTAGGAAGATATAATTATGTTGTTAGCTTCATAGTAGAATTCAAAGCATTCTACCCAGGTTGCCCAGTTCATACAGAGCTCATATATTTTGTTCATTGCATTATAAAATAATTTCTAATGTGTCCCGTTTACTGACAGCCAGTATCATAGTTTCATTTACTCAAATTCTGAAACTCTTGCCATGATACTGCAAGGAAAATAAACAGAGTTATTGAGGTATGAACTGAGTAATCTGCAGAGCCATTCTGTCTTCTTTGTCACAAGTTTTCTCGTACAGTTGTCAGTATACAACAAAAATTGTCAGCAGTTCATTGAGTTATTTTGTGCCACCCAAGCAATTTGTGTAGCTTGAAAGCATCTATGGAGGTAAGCGTCGATTGCTGTGAAATAAAAGCAATTACCGTGTGATGACTATCTGAATGCATCGTCCAGTATTCAAGATGCATTCGTGGCAGCTAGCTGGATTTCATAATGTGCACAAAATATTAGTCTGCATTTTAGATGTCGCATGTGTCTGGCCGCTCTTTCGAGATAACACTGTGACCTTCAAAGTGCATGAGTGACATCTGGAATGCAACTTGTGCAAAAGCTTAAATGGGACAGCAGCACACAAAATATTATGCCTTCAGGGCAAGTCTGTATTGCAAAAAAAGAAAAAATAATAATGATAATAAGTAAAAATAAATGCAGGGAACAAAAGGAAAGCACATGTTGGTCTTGTGATAACTTCTTGGCCATATGGTTATTGCAGTGACCCCACTTCTGCGCCAACTGTGCCAAAGTGTGCCAAATCAGATTTACTGCGTCATCCTGATAATATCAAAGGAAATTGTGTCAAACTGCGCCAAAGTCAGATTTGGGAGCGTCTATCACCAGCAATAGCCACTCTGGCGCGTAAAAACATGTGCATCTCGTTCTCGGGGCCACCAATGTTACAATAATGTATTTACAATTATTCCGCTCGCACATGCGTTTTAAGTAATCCAAAGATCTATGTTTGATGCCGACGCAACTTCTGCTGTGCAAGTCCACTTAACGGCAAAATGCGCTCTCCGCAAGGGCTTCCGACGTCTAGTCCAATCGGTAGCGTCAAACTGTTCTGCAGATTTATCAGCAGATGTGGTCTGTTCCAGGAACGCTGCTGGTAGCTCATTTGAAGAGTTGTGTGGCACATAATTAAATCAATTTTCACTAATAACTGCATGCATGCTACCAAAATGTCTGTCGTGTATTTCTGAAAATCGCAATTTATTTTCGGTGCTTCGCAACCACTGAACACGTGAACGATGGTAACATGGTGACACTTTCCGTTAATATAATTTATTCATAGATCTTCATTCAGAAGAGCTTTATCGTAACTCCTTCCATCAGCTCATCCGTATTTGTAATCGCTGTTGTGCTTAAAGCCCCAAAAGACCCATGTCCTATCGAACTCGAGATTGCTAGGGTCTGGATTCAAAATTTTGACTTGCTTTTTTTTAAACGTCATTTCATTAATAAAAGCATGCCTCCTGGTCGGAGCAGCTACAATTGCAATTTTAATATGCGCAGCTTTCAGTAGTGGGGCCATTGCTGGCGGCTCTGTCGGAAGGCCCACTGTGAAGCGGCTACGCCATGTTATGTCCGCCCCTCACTTTCCAGGGTCAATAGGTGACGGTTAAAAAAATTTCAACATCACGGCATCACTTTCATTGCTTCTTTTTTTTTCTGTGTGTTTTTTTAGGGGGGGGGGGGGGCTGTGTCGGTTGAAGGGCGCAGTTGCTGGCAGGCTCTATATATCAAGGCATAATGAGACTGCTCGTAAGCTTTTTGTGCAACTAACCTCTGCTTCGCATTTAGATAAAAACTGCTTTGGTAACTGGAGCGGCCATTGTTCCTTTAACCAGCATTCTCTTGAGTTATGCAATATCAGGTCCAAAAGATACAATTTGTTAGTTTCGCTTAAGCTCTTCGCAATGAATGCGATACTAACAAATTCTATTGCTATACAAAATAATAAGGCTTGACGTCATCCGCGAGGAACACTAGCAGCAGGGTTGCATTTCGAAGGTCGGCGCACTCGCCGCACGCATAGAAAACTTGCAGGACGTGCGGGGTTCATACAGTGACTCCAATGGCTAGAGACCCCCAGAACAGCTAGTTCTTGCACGCCGATGCATTGTCAGATGGAATCAGACTTGTCTAGGGCGCCCAGCTGGCTGCTCCAGCCAACGTTGCTCCAGCTGCCGTTTTCTTCAGAAATATGTTAACAGAGATGTAATGATACCTAACATGTGGTCATACTGCGTGTTATGTCCCTGTACATGTAAGCATGAACGGGAGCTTGTAGCCAACGTAAGATAGAAACTGTGGCCAAAAACAACAGTGTCGTCAGACACGCACTGTGATGTTCTGAATAAGTGTATGGCACAATCAGCACGTATGAATGGACCTTCAAAATGGCATGGTGATGGTATGGCCGCCTTGCGTTCAAGGCTCAGTGCCTACCCCTATATGGCCGCTGCAGAAAGCGAAGCACTTTTCGCACAGTCTGTTCGCATGGAGAGTACAAGGTAGATAAGTATACGAAGCTGTCTGTAATGCCTGTCGAAATAGCTCGCACCCCAGCGATCACACATGACCTCCCCACGCCCCCTGCCTTCTTAGTTCCTTCTTGCTCCTTGAAGATCGGCGGCGCGTTCCTCTCTGCTTGAGTACCAATCAATGGCAGGCCTGACAAGCGGGATGATGTCATTGCATCCTCGTGTAAAAAACATGACGGCAACGACCAGGGGCATAGGCAGGGGTGAAGGCAGATCGGGAACGTCCCCCCCCCCCCCCCTGCTGAAATTTTTTTCGCCATAGCATATATAGTGCAAAATGACCATTTGCCTGCTCAGCCCCCTCCTTCAAATTAAGGTGCCCCGTTCCCCCCCAAATTCTGCCTGCACCCCTGGTGTTTACAAAAAACAGTTGAAAATGTCCATATGATTGCTATTGTAATAAAAACGAAATGTCATGTTAGATCCAGCAATATAATCGGTTATGAAGAAAAAGGACCTTTCTTTATCCTTGAAGTCATTTTAGAGAAATTCAGTTGGGACTCTACAAGTCTAGCATTGTATCAGCGTTAGTCTACCACATCTGTTGATAACCACATAGATGTATTTCGAACGTTATTTCATGAAGTACAACTTTATTCAACCACTATTTTGTTTTTTATTGTTTACTTGCTGAAAAAATAATCACTGAACAAGTTCTTCCAGAATGCTCACATGATGCCATTATTTTTGCATCATCAACTGTAATAGTGAGTGCTCCTAAGATGTCTGCCTCCATGAGGTGAGGTTCGCAATAAATAGAAATATTTCTAGCTCTTAACAAGAGCCCCAAAATAATTATTCATATCCATGAAGGTAAATTTAACTTGCTTCTCCTTCAGGATGTGAAGTTACTTGCTCTAGATTGCTCCAATATAGAAAATTTCGCTACTCCAAAGGGCTCTATAATGGAATATTTTGCTGCTCCGAAGTGCTCCAAAATGAAAATTTTGATTCTCTAAAGTGCTCCAATATAAACATTTAGAAAATTTGCTGCTCCAAAGTGCTCCAAAATGAAAATTTCGCTGCTCCAAAAATTGCTCCATATCATAAGACCTCGATAGCATCACATTTATTGGTTGAAATTTTAAAGGGTTTGTGTGCTTATATTGT